CTGACAAATAGCCTTCCATAGAGGACTAACAAATTTAAACTCACTTATTGTCAAACTATTTGATTACTGATCTAGGTTTAAAAAATGGATTTTCACTGTAGCTTTTATTTATGAATGAAAGCGATTCCAAGAGGGAATTCTGACTAGAGAAATTCCTGGGAGAGCAGCTTTGTTTTATTTTATTATCTCTTTAAAAATTTTTAAATAATAAGAGCTATTGATAATCAGCAGTATAAATGGTATTTTATTCACTTCGGTTCGGTAAAGTGCAGAGAGAATCCAGCCAAGAGGATGATCTATGCAAGCAAAGAGACAGTGCTCCATTAATGAAAGAAATACTGACTAGATATTTCATGTTGAAAATGAGATTTATGACTTCTTGCGCAAAAGACCTTGAAAACCACTCCTTGGCAGCCTCCCTCACTGAAGTCAGCTCTCAAACTCTGTCCCAAGTAACCGCCTGGCTGGGTGTGGACACCTCTGGTGGTCCTGAGGACAAGGACTCTTTAATGGTTCCAAGCTCACCTCGGGCTCTGATGACATCCCATGCCCCCCTGGGAGGATGTTGTGGATCTGAGGTGCCATGCGCACAGACGTGGCAGACGTGTGTTCAGTGAAGTGTGGCTGGGAGAAGGGGAACTGCAGAGGGATCTGGGGAACTGAGCTGGGCGGGGGGGGGGTCTCTCCTAGAAATAATTCAGATTGAAAATCCTTTCTGACTTGGTGATGCTTACCTTTCTTGGCCTTTATGTCATCTGCAGTGCCTATCAGCTCCCCTTAGTGAGCACAGGTATAATTCTGGAACATTTCCAGAATGCTAGGCAAGTTTAGTTTAAAAACACTCCAAGAATGGGCCTATAATAGTCCCTCCTTACCCATGAGGAACCCCCCAATGGATGGGCACCTGAAATTGTGGGCAGTACCAAACCGTGTAACTTAGTATGTTTTACACCTCTACTAAACACTTACCAAGCACTGTAGCTGTAAATTTGAGGTGGAGTTGTGGCAGCAAAACTGGGGTGAACTTCTTTTTCCTTCTTCACAATTTCATGGATAGAAGATTCATTCTTACCACAGATCTTAACAATCTTCTATGATATCTTTTAGTTTCTTATTCACCCAAGAACTTTCACTTTTTCATTTAAAGGAAGTATGTTATAGCTTCTCTCTAGTATGTCTGAATTGCTGGCATCACTACTCTAGCACTTTGATGCTATTATTAAATAAAATAAATTACTTGCACAGAAGCATTGTGGTACTGTCATCGTTGATCTGATAACACAGAAAGCTACCAAGTGACTAATGGGCGGGTAGCATATACAGCATGGATATGCTGTATCCATATATAAAGGGATAGTTCACTTCCTATGTGGGAGCAGATCTCATTACACTACTCAGAACGTATGCAATTGAAAACTTACAAATTTCTTAGTTCTAGAATTTTTCATTTAGTATTTTCAGACTAGGATCAAAAGATTATAATTAAAACCTCAGAAATCAAAATTTCTTAAGCTATTCCAGGAAGTAGGTGGAGGGGAGATAAAAGAGAGTGATGGAGAAGGTGAATTCAAGTATGTATATTTGAAGAAAAGAAAAAGAAAAATCAAAATTTTGAATAAAGGGAAGACCACTGTATTAATTTGCTCCGTCCTTCATATAACTGTCTCCCATAGATGTACACCCTTTTATTATCTGAAATTTAGCCATATCACCCAGGGAACTTTTTCATTGTTTGCAGAAAAATTAAAGTTAGGAAAAATTTCATCTAAGCATAGATTGTGGCAATGCCTGTACCACTTTGTAAGTAGACTAAAATCCATTGACTTGTGCTCTTTAAATGACATAAAATGGGCTGGGGGTGTGATTCAAGCAGTAAAGTACCTGCCTAGCAAGTTTTGAGGCTCTGAGTTCAAACCCCAGTACTGTCAAAAAAAATAAGATATCATATTATGGCATATTTATATTCTAAGAAAGATATAAAAATTTTATTGTTGATATTAAAAGGTAACTTTTTAAAAATAAGTAAGGTGACAAAAATACATCTGAGAGCCAGATGTCTTTTCAGTTTGAAACGCAGGTATAAAGTGTGAGCCCCTGCATCCCTAATGGTCAGTAACAGGCCTGCAGTGGCAGGCCCCTTCTGTGCAGGGAAGGTGCTGCTCCACACCCCTGGGAAAGGACCCAAACTGCACACACAGCCTTTCTGTTCAGCACCTCTCACCTGACCTGACGTCAACAAGGAAGACAGAAATAGCCAACTGTCAAAACCGCCCTTGGCCATTTTTAAAAGAAAAACATCTAACGGCTCTGAAAGCACCCTGTGCATATTTTTTTTTATATTTAAGCCCTGTTCTTAATCTGTGCGCTTGCACACATACAAATAGTATACCTATATCCCATGCAGCATAATGTACAGTGTAGAGGCATACTAAATATAATTTAAGTACTATTTTTTAACCAAAAGTGTATAGATTAATTTTAGTAAGTTAATTTGATGGTATGATGGGTCCCTGCCTACTGCGTGGGAATACAGCATTTCATTCTTTGAGGCTTAATCATTCATTCCAATATCCTAGGAAGACTTGAATTTAATCTTCTTAGTGATTGGAGATACTACAGGTATATAGTGTATAATCATGGTCAGCCCTTGGTTATCTGTGAGCAGGTTGTTCTCTGTTAAGGCTCATTGCTGAAAAAATTGTAATCCTGGTCTGATCTTCCTCTTGACATAGAAAAATGTAATTGGAAATCAAACATCTTTGGGCTTCACCCAATTCATTGCAGGGGCAGCAAGACATTGAACACTTTTGAGATTTGACTGACAGCTTAGTGGGAAGGAGTGGCCGGTGCTGGGCACAAAGTTGGTTTTCAGTAAGATTGGTTACTGGCGTGGTCTAAGTGATTATGTTACCCTAAAATTAATATGCCAAAATCTTCTCTCCAAAGCTGATGGCATTAGGAGACGGGGAATTTGGGAAGTGGTTAGGTCATGGAGGTGCATGAGAGACATGAGGAAGGGCCTTCATCCTTCCACCATAAGGTTCCAGTGACAAGACGACTGTCTCTAAGGAAGTGGGCCTCCACAAGACACTAAACCTGTTGGCTCATTGATCTTGGACTTCTCAGCTTCCAGAACTATGCAGAATAAATTTCTGCTGTTCATAAATCCGCTAGTCTGTGCTATTTTGTTATAGCAGCCTGAATGGACTAAGACAGTTGCCATGGATATGCCTGAAGCTTAGTAACTTCTTTATGTTCCATGCTGCTGCTTTCTTTCCTTAATACAGATTTATGGTCATTCTGTTCCACATATGTTGTTGAACAAGGACAGTGTGCCAAGACACAGAGAAGAATAGAAAGATGTAAGTGCTGGTCTGTGGCCTTGTCTTAGTCCATTTTGTGTCTCTAGAACAAAATGCCAGTCTGGATACTTTGTAAGTAAGATGTTTGTTTGGCTCATGATTGTGGTTGCTGAAAGGTCCAAACAGTATGGCGCCAGTGTCCCAGTGAGGGCCTCCTTGGCACATAACAGCATAGCAAAGAAGCAAAAAATAGAGCTGCTGTGTGAAGAAGAGGCCAAACACAAGGGAGGACTCACTTCATAACAACCCACTTGTGAGAACTAATTAATTCATGTGAGACCCAACCAATATCACAGTATCACTATTAATCTGTTCCTGAGGGTGGAGCCTGCGTAACCAAATTACTTCCCACTAGGCCCCAACTCTTAAAGGTCCCACTACCTCAACACCACCACACTGGGGACCAAGCTTCCAACACATGGACTTTTGGAAGACAAACCACAGGAAACCTAAATGTCCCTTGATGACAAGACTTGCATCAGAGATGGGGGCACTTCTGTTGGAGCACAGATGGCCTCCTCTGGGAGGTAGGGTTGGGGCTGAGCTTTAAGGTGGGCAAGTTTTACCAAATAGGGACAAAGAGGATGAAAGGACAGAGGGATGACAGGATGGGGACAATTTCAGGGCAAGAGAGAAGTAGATCAAGGGCCCATATTGCTAATGGGGTGGAAGAATTTGGAACACAGCATCAACATGACAACTATTACTTCAATTTGAGAAAATAATATTTTGAATTATAAATCCAGAAAATAAAGCCAAACAAAATCTTCTTGGCTTGCCAGGCTACCTTGACAATAAGTGTCCCCCAGGGGCTAAGGGACATGAGATGGATTTACTTTTGCTGTTGTTAAAGTATGCTCACGGACAGTCAAGCCCCAAGCCATATGGACAGGTAGAAAGTGGAAGCAAAGGCTACAGCTCCTGTCCCACCTGCCACAGGGCTTCTGTGACTACCTTATGACATCCCGGGCTGCTGTGCAAAAATCCAAGAATGCATGGAGGTGGGACCTCGCATGTCTCCAAGGGTTTGGGGATGCTTTGCTAATCTTTATGAACAGAATGTGCTGCTGTGACAGGTGTCTCCTGCAAGTGCATCCAGAGGACGAATTCTCTGTGGTGGAGTTGCAAGGCTAAGGGGCACGACACAAGGTTCATAAGTGTTCTTGTCACAGAGAAATGCAGAGCACACGCTCTTCCAGAAGCAGGAGGGGAGCACCATTCTTCTTCACTTATGCCAGGGACAGCCCCAGTTTCCTGTGCAGGCAGCCTGGGATCCATCTTTGCTAGCATCTTCAGGAGTGTTTTCTTCTAAACAGGATCCAAGTGGGTTTTTGTTGTTGCTTTGTAGTTTTTTCCTTTTTTGGTGGTACTGAGGTTTGAACTTGGTACCTAGTGCTTACTAGGCAAGTATTCTACTACTTGAGCCTTCCTATGCCTCCTACCTATGCCTCCCACATAGCTGGAATTACAGAAATGTAATACCACAACCAGCTTATTGGTTGAGATGGGGTCTTACTAGCTTTTTGCTGAGGCTGGGCTTGAACCTTGATCCTGTCAAGTAGCTGGGATGACAGGTGTGAAACACTGTGCCTGGCCCCAAGTGTTTTTTTAATATGCCATTTCCCCCTCTTTCAACAGGAATCTTTGCCTACATGAACTACAGAGTCCCTCGTACGAGGAAGGAGATCTTTGAAACCCTTATCAAGGGCCTGCAGCGGCTGGAGTACAGGGGTTATGATTCAGCAGGTAGGTGCTGCAGGTCACCTCGTGATCTGGGGTACACTATGTCACAGCTACTTCTTTCACCAGTTTTCTTGATGGTGGGACTTTTTATAACCTGGGCATTTTGGGGAGCACTACTTAACATTTCTTTTCAATATAAAAATAAGACTTGTTCATTAAAGAGATAAGAAAATTATGGACAAGGAAAAATATTTTTTGAACCTAGAGAAGAGAAGGAACAAGGGTTAAAAAATATCTCCATCAGGCCCCCATTATGTTACATGTCCTTATTACACATGCACAATAATAATGCTGAGAGAGAGGACAGGAGGGAATTTTGGAAGTGATGGAAAGTCGATGGCACAGCTTGTAGCAATGTTTTCCTGAATGGACACTTGCTTCTAATCCAACAAGTCATATACGTTTAGAGTGTCTGGCTTCCTGTGTGTCTGTCATCTTTCCATCAGTATCTTGGTGCCTCTTCTCTAGTCACTGCTGTGTGTTGGAACTGTCTGGCACTGGCAGGGTTGAACTGTTGTATAATAGATGTTTCTTGGTTTTCCCTAATCATAACCATGAAATTTTGAAATAAATACATATAATTAGTCTCCTTTGGTGCTAGCATTTGAACCCGAGGCCTCTCCCATGCTAATAAGCACACAAGATACCACTGAGCTATAGCCCCAGTCCTGTAGTTTTTGATTCTTTTTTTCCCTTATCTTAGGATTTCCATTGTCCAAGCTCTTCCTCAAAGTCTCTCTAAATGACTACCCAATCCTCCACTGCATGGCTGTCTGTTTCTTTCACCACGGGCCAAACAGGTGGATATTTAGTTAGTTGTTTTTTTTTTTTTTTTTTTTTTTCCAGTGATACTGGGGTTTGAACTTAAGGCCTCATGCTTGCTAGGCAGGTGCTTTACCACTTGAGCCACTCCACCAGCCCTGGTGTGTGTGTGTGTGTGTCTTACAAACTATTTGCCCAGGCTGTCTTCAAACCACAATCTTCCTGATCTCTGCCTCCCCAGTAACTAGGATTACAGGCATGAGCCACTGGTGCCTGGCTTACATTTTTAATTGAGCAGCCTGCAGAGAAGAATTGATTTTATATCCCTATCGGTTCTTAACAGAATGCAGTCAGATTGATTAAAGGTTGCCGGCACACTAATGGAGTAGAGACAGCAGCTAAAGTATATTAATGCAAAGAGCACCAGAGGATAAAAGCCCTTGAATAAGCCCTTTGCCATCAAGAGTGGGTGTGTTAGTGCCTCCCTGGTAGCCAAACCCAGGGATCTAAACACACACACACACATGTCTCTGTTTCCTGTGAAGTATTTGCCACCCTTGTGGCTTCTTCTTCCAAAATAGATTTTCTGAAACTGTATAGTTCTCCTTTGGTCAGTGAGCCTGGGGAGCAGCACTGCAATGGGGCTCGGGTGAAGTTCAATGGTAGATTGTGGACGTAGCCTGGGTGAGGCCCTGATTTACGCCTAGCACCAAAAACTACAATAAACAGACAATGCTGTGTAACCTAATAGTGGGCAAAGCAGTCATCCCCTAGTGTCCATGAGAGATTGATTCCAGGACCCCGGGATACCAAAAGCCACAGATAACTTGAGTCACTTGTAGAAAATGCCGTAGTATTTGCACATAACCCATTTGTACACCCTCTCATATGCTGTAAATCATGTCTGGATGACTTAAATACCTAATACAGTGGAAAGGCCATGGAAATAACTGTTATACTGTCTTGTTTAGGGAATAATGACTAGGAAAAAAAGTGTGCACATGTTTAGTACAGAGGCAATTTTACTCATTTATTTTCGAATACTTTCCATCCTTGGCTGGTTAGTTCCACAAATACAGAAACCTTGGATAGGGAGGGCCAATGGACCTTGTATCGAAGTGTGTGAGAATCACTCTCCCTATCCTCGAAGGACTAAAACCTAAATTGCAATATAAAAGTAATGTTTATGGTTTCAAATTTATGAAGTTCTAGGCCAGCAAAACAGTCTATTGTGATTGAAATGTGAATAGTGCTTGCCTTTTGGGGGTGTATGTATCCTGTCGGGGTGTGGGTCAAACTAGTGTGTGCACTTATGAAAACTCATTGATTTGTGCTTTTGGCTGTTTATAAATTACACTTTGATAGAAAATTTAAAATGTAGAAAGTAATACTGTCTAAACTACAGGGGTGGCCATCGATGGTAATAATCACGAAGTCAAAGAAAGACATATTCAGCTGGTCAAGAAAAAGGGGAAAGTCAAGGCTCTGGATGAAGAACTTTACAGTGAGTGGATAACGCCCTTCATTGGAGAAGCTGGGGAAGCACGGGCCATTGAAAATATTTTATTCCAACAGCTTCAAGACTAAAAGTATTTATCTAAGCTTGGATGAATAGCAGGAGGCTTACGCCCACGTTGTAAAACTGCATCTCAAAAAGTGTGGGATGACTTGTTTCAGGCAGTGGCCTAAGGTTTTTAAAAATTTTAATATTTATGTGCTTATATTTCATTTTCTGTCAATTGATCCTAATTTTTTGTTTATAGTAGTAATATATCATATTAAGATCGGTTTATTTCAGTTAAGAAAGGAGTTAAGTTACTACTAAATACTAAGTAAACTTCAGTGTGGGTGGTGTGTGGATCGGACAGACCCCCCAGGTGGAACGTGCATGGTTGATGATGGAGACGTGCTGTTGGCACAGATGATTCTCTTGGTGCAATGAAGTCAGCTCACCTTAACAGTCCCGGGTCAGTGCTGACTTTTGAAGTGTAGCAAACTGACTTTTATTTCATTTAGAACAAGACAGCATGGACTTAAAAGTGGAGTTTGAGACACACTTCGGCATTGCTCACACGCGCTGGGCCACCCACGGGGTCCCCAATGCTGTCAACAGCCACCCGCAGCGCTCAGACAAAGGCAATGGTAGGTAGTGTGACAAGCGTGACCTTGTTTCCTTGTCCCTGGAGGTTGTGCCTCACCTTGAACTGTCTGCCGAGGATGAGCCTAGCCAGAGTGGGTTCCATGTCTGTCTCAAACTGACTTTTCCACCTGCCCTGTCTTCCCAAGATAATCCAAATGTCATCTTTCCTAAAGCCCAGGAGATGACCCTGTGCCCTCGTGAGGAGGCAAACTCGGCCAGGCCCCTGAGTTCTGCGACCTCCCAAGTGCCCACAGAAAATAATGGCACTTTACCATGAGGACTGCTGGCTTTTTGGATTCCAGCCCACAAGTAGCATATCATAGTGCATTAGTTCATCTTCTATTGCTGTAACAAAATACTCAAAGCTGGGTACTTCACGTAGAAAAGAGGTATTTATTTAGCTCATAGTGTTAAAGGGTCAAAGTCCTCAGACAGGTTTGACCTCTGGTGAGGGCATCCTTGACTTCATCCTAACATGGAGGAAAAGCAGAAAAGGAAACTGGCTGCATACAGAATGGGCCAAGTGTATGGGTGGCCTTGCTTTATTACAACCCTCTCTTTCCGGAGCTAACCAGGATCCCACAAGAACTCCATTAATTTCTTCTGAAAGCAGGCCCCCCAACAACCTCCCACTAGGCCCCACTTCTTAAAGGTGCCACCATCTCTCCACATTGAGGACCAAGCATCCAGCTCAGGAACCCTTGGGGAACACTCGGAAGTCATATTCCAGCCATAGCAGACAGTGTGAGGGATTGAAGGGCCTGGGAACTGCTCACTCCAAGAAACCAGAGTTCTAGATGGCTGGGATCTTAAAGGGAAGGATAGGGTTCCTTCCTCATGGTGTGAAACCCACCTCCCTCCCCTGCAGAGTGTTCCTGAGTGAGGGCAGGTGACACTGTTGATGGTGACTAGTGTCTGAGGTGCCAACTCCAGAGTCCCAGTAGTGAGGCCTCAGCAGCCAAGCACTTAAGGCTTGGAGAAACAGAGAATGAAAATGGCAGCCCAGCAGGAGAGTCCTGGACTTGGCTTGTTTCAGGATTTAAAAATGAGAATTATTGTATTATTATACATAAAAATCCAGATTTTTGACATCCCTAAAAAACTGGAAGATATGGGGATACAGTGGCTTAGAGTTCCACTGACTGGCAGTGGTCCAAGGTCACAGAGCAGGGATACGGGAATTGCCCTTGGCAGTCTTTGGTAGGGTTGGGGCTCCTTCGCTCTTCCAACTACCCCTTGTGCTGCCTCAGCTCATAGACCCCCGTCACTTGCCTGGGCCCCCAGGATGGGTCTCCATGCCATGGCTCATGGTCTTTCATGGGGGAAAGGATGGCAGGTCTGGAGCTCTTTGTGGCAGTTGCCAGGGTGTTGGGCCTCCAGCATCCGGACACAGTGAGGAGTAAGATGGAGAGAGAATTTAACCCTTCACTCCTCCCAGGCTTCCAAGGGCAGGCAAGCATCTAAGACAAAATCTGGGCTCCCAATAGACCAGGAGGTTAGGCCTGCTCATATCATGAACCCCCGATGACCCACCCTGGGCAGGATGAGGGAGAGTGTCCAGCAGAAAACATGATTTCTGGAGTCACCCAGGACTCCTCCTCCAAGGCATTCTCTGGCCTACTGTAAGCAGTTGCCAAGCCTCATATGAGAATAAGGCTTGAACACATCAGAATAGTAGTTGGGACTTCTTAGAGGGCACTTAGGGACAAATCTCTGCAGTTCGCTTTTGTGATGTCAGGCCAGGGAGAGAACAAATCCTCCATGTGTCCTCTATCCACGGGGTCAGTGTGCCCAGGGTGGTGGGCAGCACCAGGTGGAAAGGGAAATCACCAGCACCCCCAACACAAGGTGCAGGATGGTGGAGCTTCTGCCCAAAGCACGTTAAAGAGTTCACCACAATTTTGAAAGGAAGGCATCCTGCTGAGAGTAGGAGGACAGAGCAGCTGGAGGTAGCTCAAGGGCTGAGGGGATACACATGTGTCCGCATGGTGGAGTCTTTGGGTAGCCAGGATCTTGCTGTGGGCTCTTCCTTGGGTTTGGCCCATGCCCTAGCAATAGGGCATCCCACAACTGGAATAGGCACCCTAGTAGACCCCAGAGTGCTGAGGACCGAGCCAAACCTTAAGTCAGATGCAGAAGCTGGTCCCTGGAGCAGCTGAGAAAACAGCACCAAGTCCGTATACCCTGAGATGTTGCAACTCCAGCCACAGCCTGCTACCCACCCTAGTGACAAGGTGAACCTCATCAGAATCCCCACATACACTTCGGGTGCAGACAATGATTCCTATTGTGTTCCCAGAGCAGAGAGGCTCCAAGGAAACTCACCTACACCCAAACTTGGAAACTCATGCTCTGACTCAGGATGAATAATTGAAAAACAGAACAACACAGGCAACATGCAAAGGTTCATGCTGGGTGTAGGGGTGCATACCTGTAATCCCAGCACTCTAGAGGCTGAGGCAGGAGGATTGCAAACTCGAGGTCAACCCTGGGCTACATAGCAAGATCCTGTCTCCAAAAAAGCCAATGAAATAAACAAAACAACACAGAGATTTGTAAAATTTCTTCAACGACTCATCAGCAATGGCTAAAGATAATGCTTTTAAGGAAGTCTTATAATCAGTGATTGCATCTTACAAGGAAATTACACAGAAATGTTTTTTGCAGGTGTGAGGGTATAGCTCAGTGATATAACACTTGCTTAGCGTGCACAAGACTCTGGGTTCCATCTCTAGTATACAAAAGAAAAAAAAAGAAGTGTTTGAAAAAAAATAGACTCAAGGGAACACATAAGACAATAGACTAAGAGGAAAGAAAATGTGACAAAATTAAGAAAATAATGTAAGGGAATAATGCCATAATACAGAAAGGAAAAACAACTGGAGAGGGAGATAGGTATAGAGGCAGTTAAAAGAGGTCCAACATGTGGATAATTGGCATTCCCAAGAAGAGATGGGGACTGGCGGAGTGGCTCAAGTGATAGAACGCCTGCCTAGCAAGTGTGAGGCCCTGAGTTCAAACCCCAGCACTGCCAAAAAAGAAGAGACCATTTCTGTTCCAAGAAGAGATCAGAACAAACAGAACTATAAAAAAATAAGTATGTAAAGCTGTAGCACAGTTCAGCTGTAGTCAGAACATCTGCTGAAACTGGGCTTTTCTTTTTCTTTTTACTTAATTTTTAAGATTTATGTTTTAACTATCATGCAAAAACATTAAAATTGTGCATATTTTTGGGGTACCATTTGATATTTTGATACATGTATACACTGTTTTAATCACAGGCTTTCCTTATTCAAACCCATTAATTTTTTTACGTGACCCCTCATAAACAAAAAATAGGATTTCTTAAAAACAGAGAGGAAGTTATGGTGAACATAAAGAAAAGTAACAGGAAAGTTTCCAAATGTAACAGGAGAAATCTCTCCTGAACTGAAGAAAAACTTGAATTGGAGATAAAAGGACTCCCTGAACAAGAATCAATATTTATGAAGGGCATCTAACATCTAGAACATCCTGAGGAAGCTATTGGATCTTAAGGTCTATCTTCTAAGCCGACCATGGTGGTACACGCGTGTAATCCCAGCATTCAGAAGGCTAAGGCAGGAAGATTGTGAGTTCCAAGCCAGCCTGGGCTACCTACCAAGACCCTGTTGTCTCAAAAAAATGAAAATAATCTATCATCTAGGATAAAGAAAAAAGGCGGTTACTTCTTCTTCCCCTGCCCTCAAACTCTCAGGCTGGCCTCAGACCTGTCCCCTGAGTTACTCCATCAGCTATTCATTCAGACAGTGCAGCAGTGACTGAGGCAGACACATCCCTTGCCCTCCCAGAATCTTTCAGGGGCTCCACCTGTACGTGGAGTGATCCAAGGTGAGTGGTTGGTGCTCAGAGGAAGTGGAAGAAGCTACGACAGGTAGACCCTGCTGCAGAGCCGTGGTGTGGTCACATAGAAATGTTCAAGAGTCCAGTGAGTCCAGAACTTCCAGCTTTTTTTCTCCTAATAATTTTAAAGTGAAAACTCAAAAAAAAAATGTAACCCAGTTTTTTCATGATGCAGCATGAGTCAAACAAAGCCCATCTGTGGCCTGTTTGTGATCTGTTTGAGCTAAAGCCTGAGAGGAATGCCTGGAATCTTCCCTGAATAACGAAGGGTTGATCATGCATCCTTTGACATAAATGCCAAAGCCTGTTTGATAATATTCTAAGACCATTTGTAAGAGCTCTGTGCATGGTCAGGTTGGTGCAGCCTTAATCACAGCCAACGAAGTTTGCTCAACAGAAGTCTTTGTAGGAGCAGAATTTGCAGAGTTTTCAAGCTATCAAATCATTTTCCTTTGCATGTGACTTGACTTAGTAGCATTTCTCTCTTCTCTAAACTTTTCTTGCAGAATTTGTTGTCATCCATAATGGGATCATCACAAATTACAAAGACCTGAGGAAATTTTTGGTAAGGCTTCCCCTGGGTAACATTAAAATGGAGTAGTATTGGTCTTTTCCCAGAAACTTCCCAACCAGTTCATTTCTCTCCAAAAACAAATGCAGGAGCTGTGTGAGACCCACTGTTGGCCATGTCACAACATTTTGCATGAACCTCAGCCCCAGCTGAGCCACCACATCCAGATCTTGTTTAGGAACAAATAAGGCATTAGCATTTATCTCTAGGGCCCCAGTGGATTCACAGAATCAAAATAACATGAACTTGGTTTTATTAAAGTAGCTGCACTGTGGACTCATACACCAAATGGAATGTGGGTGGGAAGTCAGACGGTGAGTGTCCACAGTACGAAAGGTTGTGCGGTGTTAGTTGGGATGTGGGTGGTTTTGACTCAACATATTTTATCACTTGGGCTGCTGTTATTTTGCAATATCCAGATTAATGGCAAAGACAAGCTTCTAAAGAGGAATGATCTCAGAGAATACTGGGATGACTCAGAAGTGTTTGTCAGTGCAATTCTGGCAAACATTTTTTGTCCTTTCCCAGTTTTCTTTGTTCCCGCCTTAAGTCAAATCCTAAGGGACTAGAGGAAGTTGGCCAGGCCAGCATTGCACAATGACCATTATCTGTCACCTCATGTCCAACCTCTTATTCCAGGAAAGCAAAGGCTATGAGTTTGAGTCAGAAACAGACACGGAGACCATTGCCAAGCTGATTAAATACGTATTTGATAACAGAGAAACTAAGGACATTACATTTTCAACCCTGGTTGAGAGGGTCATTCAGCAGTTGGTGAGTTACAGATCCCATCTGTTTAAATCATTCATTTTTTATAAACTTTTATTATGCAAATTTGCACAAAGTACTGAAGAGGAAAGATGCTATTTCCCTGTAGATTTCACAGAAGTTTTATGGTTTGGGTAGTAAATATCAAAAAGTGCCTCACTTAGGACTGGGGAGGGGTGTGACTCAAGGTGGAGTGCCTACCTAACAAGCACAGGGCCCTGAGTTCAAAACCCATACCTTCAAAAAAAAAGTGCCTTGCTTCTTTTCGGGGGTATGAGGAAGAAGACTAGGGTTTGAACTCTGGGCTTCTCTCTTGCAAGGCAGTTGTACTACTGCTTGAGCCATACCTCAAGCCCAACCCTGCTTCATTTCAACACCTCTGGGATGATGACCAACCTTATAATCTATGGCTTTTCACAATCGTGGGTTGTGCATATAAACATAGTCATGGTGATTGATGTTGTCACATTTTCAGTTGAAATCTGTGCACTGTTAATTACATACATTACATGAATTTAGCTGATGTTGGAGATTTAAAATCGTAGATTTTCCTCCTTATTGGTAAAGTAGTTTTTGGCCGCAGGGGAGGAATGCCCACAACTTCTTACTAAATGGAAAAGGAAGGAGGGAAAGAAGGAAGGACACAGGGAGGGAGAAAAAGAGGGAAGGAGGGAAGAAAAGTAGAAGCAGAGCCAGCAGGTGCAGATTTATGAGATGCTTGATTATAAATGGGCCCAAAGAAATGGCTCTGGGCAAGAGATGGTTGGAGCGCCCAGCAAGGATTGTGTTTGTGACAGAAGAAATCACAGCACACCTGTAGGCTGAAGGGAAGGGCCCAGGAAAGAGAGCAAGAGAAATTGGTGAAGTCCCAAAGGGCTAAATCCAAGAGGCAAAGCCCCCCACAAAAGGGAGCACACACTGGGGGGATTGTCCAAGGGGAAGCCCCTCCTTGGAGAAGGAGGTAGAGGCCTGCACAGGCCTACATGGGATGGGTAGAGAAGGAGGAGGAAAGGGCTGCAGATACTCCCAAGCCCATCCTCTGGGGCATCATGGCATCCAAAACTCCTCCAAGGCCATGGCAGCCTGGAGATAGTGTTCAAGGCCCAGAATCCAGGACATCTTCAGTCAGCTGTTGCTATGGGCACCATACTGTGGCTTAAATTTATCATCCTTCAGTGAGTATTTTCAGAGTCTTATTTAAAATGTGGTCTACTATCCAAATTCTTTGACCTATGACCTCCTCCTTTGGGGGGGGTCCATAATTTAGAGGGCATATTAATAAACAAAAGTGTCATCCTTCAGTATCATCAGAGAATTGAATCCAGGGCCCCCCATATATCAAAATCTGTGGCTGCTCACGTTACTTATATAAAATGGCATAGTTTTTGTATATGACCTGTGCACAACCTCCTGTATGCTTTAAATCATCTCTAGATTACTTAAATCATCTCTAGATTACAAGTGCAATGTCAATAGTTGTTAAACTGTGCTGTATAGGGGCTAATGACGGGAAAGGTCTATACGTGTTCAGTACAGATGTAGCATCATAGGTCTAACGACACAGTGCACATCAGCAACAACATAACATGGTTTTTTTTGTTTTTTTGTTTAGCATAACATGTTTTTCAGATTTTTTTGTTTGTGTGGTACTGGGGATGAAAACCAGGGCCTCACACACGCTGAGCAATCATTCTACTACTACCCCATAGTCCCATTCAGAATATTTTTGATCCTCATCTAGTTGAATCTGCAGGTGCAAAACCCCGCAGCTATGGAAAGACAACTGTATTCAATGTACAATATAACAAATTTTGTAATGTGCAGTAAACCAATTTGGTATCGCAGCACAGTGTTTCTTCTTTTCTATTTATAATTTTAAATTTTGGAAATACCTTCCCCATAATGCTGCTTTTAAACTTATGACTTTTTGTACCTGAAAGCAACATGGGACTCTTTTGGGTAGAGAACAATAGGAAGTGTACTTCTATCCATTCCTTCTTCATTTTTGACAACGCAGCAGAGAAAATATGAGGCTGTTCAGAGTCTGCCTGAAGCCTCTTCATTCTGGTCAGTTTAAAAAGCCCTTTGAGACCTAGGGACACTGACCCTGGGTTCCCCTGGCCATGTGGCTGAGTCAGCAAGCTGGACATAGCATGCTGACTGCACAGGGCCTTAGGTCTTCCCAGGATTCCAAAACTTGGGGATTTCACCCGGAAATTCAGGTTTACAGCTGGTTGTACATAACTGACATCTACCAAGGTCATAGTAAATTAGTACAGGCTGGTCAGATGTAGGGGAGAATTTCAAACTAAGAATTTAAGTAGAAAGAACATTTGGAGTTAAGAACTAGGAGAACTATATTCTAGTTATGGCTTTACACAAATCAGCAAGCCAAGATGCAGATATGATGCAAATGACAATCATATCCATAGAAATAATAATAGTAACAATAACAACAACTCAGATTTCTCTGGGATTCTCTAGGGACCAGAAAATGATCTAAGCACCTACAATACGTCAGCTTTATAATCACAACGTCAGAGAGCAGGACTGCTCTCATTTTGGGGCACAAGGAAGGCTGAAGTGTTGCCCAGTTAAGGGATAGAATCAGGATTGGATCCCAGACTCTACCATGTGTTGAACTAATAATGTATTTTCTCGATGAGCCCCTTTAACCTCACAGCTGCTCCCTGAATTGGTCCCATCCTAAGGCTCAGGGTAGGGCACCCTGGCCTTGGTTTTCATTTCCTGGGGTTCTAACTGCACCAACCACCCAGCTCATCTCAATTCTGGACATCCTCGATATGGTTTCTTTGTGAGCTTGGACAGGCAGGTATGGCTTCTGCTGCTCACAATGAAATTCACAAGTTCTGGTCTTTCAGTGCGGTATGGTCTGTTCTGCTCTCCCTCTTGACCTCATCTTGCACAAGCTGCCCCTGCATTCAGCTGTCCAAGTAAGCAGGACTGCCTTCCTTGTAGAGGGCCAGGGGAGGCCTGCTGGGGCAGCAGGCTGCAGTGGTTTGGCTAGCCAGAGTGAGCTGTCCTTCACTTTCTTTCTTGTGTTTTCAGGAAGGTGCATTTGCATTGGTTTTCAAGAGTATTCACTACCCAGGAGAAGCTGTTGCCACAAGGTGAGGCAGAATGCACTGACACTTCTAATAACAAATAAATAAGATAAAATCGCTTAGCTTGAGGAGAACTGGAAGGTACTTGCTGGGTCTAAGGCTTAGCCTCAGGTGCTGTACTCACTGGCTCTATGGCCAGGGGCACTAGGGCTTCTATGGTTTTTTTTTTAAAAGGGAAACCAGAAAATTGGGTTTTTTAAGATGAAATCTCCAAATTTTTAGAAGTTGACAATGAATTCAAATTAAAAAATAAAAGAAGAACCAGATTCAGGTTTTGTGGGGCTTGAAGTCTATACAACTTGGGGGACCCCCCACTTTAAGAAAAGCGTACAAAATTATGCACAACTAGGAACCAACGTGAACATTGATTTGGATCCAAACTGAAAAGTCCTCGAGGACTGGAGGTATGGCTCAAGCAGTAGAGTGCCTACTTTGCAAGGAGAACCCCAGAGTTCAAACCCCCGTCCCACACACACACACACACACACACACACACACACACACAGTTCTTGAAAGCCCAGAGCTGATGTCTCATCAACGTGGCAGGTGTGTCCCAGCATTGAACTAGAGGTCTGGTTCAGCCCCCGTGTCCCTCTGTTATAGCACCCCCCCCCAATGGACCCCAGCCCTGCTTGGATTCACAGATGTCACTAAGTCCCACCCTATTACATTCAGATGGAGAGATTATCTGTCCACCCAACTAATATGTGTTGAACACTTATTATGTGCCAATTCCTGGGGACCTTGTGACATTCAACTTGATCTCTGTCCTTAAGGACTGGAAAGTTGGGCAGGAAGACAAAGGAGAATAGAAGGTAGCAATGATCTGTGATAGGGGCTGGACAGGTCAGTGCACCAGGGGCCTGAGGGGAGCAGGTGTCATCCTGGGGAAAGCAGGTGGCAGGAGCAGCTTCCCAGGAGGAGGGACTAGTGGCAGAAGGGCAAGGGCCTAGAGAAAGTGTGGCACTCCACCATCCCAGTTTGACCAGCATGGTGGTGAGATGGAGGGGGCCCTGAGTGAGACTTCCAGTCTGCGTGTTGTGAGCCAGGTATGGGGAACAGCAATTGACCAGGTGATGTGGATGGTACGTACCCCACGAACTTCACAGGCTATTGGGAAGAGATGGACAGACGCTAGGCTCCAAGTGGCCTCAGTGCCCTGTGGGCTGCAGACTTCACTCTGAAGGCACAAAAGAGTCATGGAGAAGCTATCTGAGGCCCCAGGAGACCACTCTTCTCTGTCCCCCTGCCCAACTGTCCTTGCAAAACTGTTTAGTATCTAAGAAGAAAATAAGAAGAATTTATCATGATTTTATTTTTTCTAGGACTGGAACCAATTTACCATTTGGGATACAATTCTTTCAAATCATAGAATTATAAAGTACCAGTTGGTTTCTATCAAATTTAGAAATCCCCTTTAAAATATGATAATATTTGATATTTCTATTTAAAATGAATGCAGAAGAAGACAGTGTGAAGAAGCAATAAAGTTTTATTTTTCTAAATTGCCTATAACTGCTGGCTCTGTAACCTCCAGGACAATCTTTGGAGTGTCTTGGGAAAACGCTATGTCTCAAACTCTCAGGAATCCACAGAGCTCAATCTACAGCAATAAGATTTGGAGGTAGCTGTTTGCCAAGAAAATTAGATAACCACATACTTTCTCACTGCCATTATTAGAAAGACAATTTAAGCTAGTTCCCATTGGACCCAGAACTGGGTCTCTGATTTGCTTTAAACCCAATAAAAGATTGCCCAAAATATTCAGGGTGTTCAAAACACCTTTTTTAATGCTGCAAACTTTCTCCCCCACTTTGAGAAGTCAGAACAGGGGTCCAGACAGGGCAGCACTATTGGAAAACAAGGTCTGTTACTGCTGGAAAAAGAGTAAGGACCTCTACGAGTCAGCTTAACAAACCAAATGCACTTGCCTGAGCTGGATTCAAGCTAATGGTTCATTAGTTTATTGGTCTACATTAGCAAGAAATTGGTTGAGGTAAATATTACCGCATTTGTAGAAGGAATGAGTTTTAGAAGCTCTCTTGAGTGGTTAACACGTCTTCACGTTTTCTTTTTATTAATAAGTTAACGTGGCGGGGGGAGGGGAAGCACCTTAGTAACTACAGTACTCCCCATTTCCAAGGTTCCAGTTACACAAAGTCAATGGAGAGCCAAAAATATTCAGTGGAAAAATTCCAGAAGCCAACAGTTCATAAGTTTTAAGTATCTTTTATATTAGCATAATGTTATAATTACTCTATTTTATTAGTAGTTATTGTCACTAGTCTCTTGTGTGCCTAATTTACACATTAAACTTTATTAGAAGTATGTATATATTGGAAATAACATTGTACATGTAGGGTTCAGGATTGTCTGTAGTTTCAGACATGCACTGGGGATCTTAGAACATACCCTGAATGGAAAACAGAGGGGAACTATTCCATTGGAATTTTATCTGCCTGGTTCTGACTAAGAATCAGAGGTCCAAATTGTATAACAAAAGTGATCTGCTTATTTCTCTGCACACCCATTGTAAATTTGATTTGACTACTATACTTTATAACAATGAGCAATGAATTAGATTTTGAAGTTAAGATGCTATTAAAATTATGAACTAATACCTTGAACGCATTCACCCATAGAAATTGTGAGCTAGACAGAAGTACTGTAAAGCACTTTACTGAAGATTTCCTCCTCCCAAGATGCTCAGAGCACCTGGCACTGGTGGTTGAGACAGCACTAGGAAAGGAGAACCAAGTTAGGGGCTCTCACCCTGATCTGCTGCAGGAATTCCCTAAGCTTTTGCTTTGTGAAAATAACTGTCCCTTTTGTAATGAATTCCACCTTGAACACACTGAAGATTCTAAAATTCACCTCTGAAGTGTCATTCAGACAAAAACAAAACCACCCAAGAAATTGCATTAAGCAGCCCACAGAGTGTAGTACAGTCCAGGGGTCCTGGAACCAATCCTCCAGCAACACCAAAGTCCCCAAGTCCCTTATATAAAATGGCACAGTTGTATTTGCACTAACCTCCTGGATACTTTAAGTCATCTCTAGATAACTTGTAATACCTAATACAATGTAACGTCTATGCAAATAGTTTATGTAGCTATATTGTTTAGGGAATAATGACAAGAAAGAAGCCTGTACAAGTTCGGTACAAATGCATCTTCTTTTTTCTGAATGCTTTCTATATGTAGTTGGTTGAATCCACAAGTGCCAAAAGTTAACTAGTTTGGTGCCTACAAAAGCTGGGGAACCACTGTCCCTGCTACATGAGAAGAGGAACAAAGGGGAAGTCCTTGGGCAGATCCAGGGCATTAAGCAGTCCTGTTCTAAGGGTTCACAGCAAATGAAGACTTCTTGGAAGTGCTTCTGTGTGCCATCAACACTTCCTCTGATGTTAAAACATTCAGCCTCTGTGACCTCACTGCGTGGGTTAGTCACATGTGGGGTTTCAGAGAACTAACTGTAGGAGCCCCAAGTTTGTGAGAATTGGGTCAGGACAGATTTCCAAGCTTATTGGCCATGTGGTTGGATTAGTGAGCTGGGATTCATGTACAAGCTTGTTGGCCCCTGCCCTAAGCCATGAGAACATCTTCCTTTGATCAGAGCATCCATCCCATGGCATGTAAACTCAATTCTCTGCTCCAGGGAAAGGGCTGAATTTGGACATCTCACCTCAGTTGCTAGGAGGATTACTAGCCCCAGGGTATCCAAAGCAATAAGTAACTTGATGCCTTCTTCTCCCTACAGGAGAGGCAGCCCCCTGCTCATCGGAGTGCGGAGCAAATACAAACTCTCCACAGAGCAGATCCCCATCTTATATAGGACATGTAAGTTTCCCAAGAAGGACTTGAACTGTGCAACTCCAGGGCAGCTGCTCTGGTGCCATCAGCCCAACTCTGAGACAGGCATGCCTCACTCTAACTTGGACCCAGCTGGCACATGGCTTTCAGGCTCAAAGATTTTCATGCAATGAAGACTTGGCTCCATCTTTGAAAAAGCTTTTCATTAATAAGGGCAAAATAGTTTCTGCTGGGTATTGAGGGGGTAGGGGGGAGAGGGAGGGGGCAGAGTGGGTGGTAAGGGAGGGGGTGGGGGCAGGGGAGAGAAATGACCCAAGCCTTGTATGCACATATGAATAATAAAGTAATAAAAAAAGAAAAGAAAAGAAAAAGCTTTTCATTGTGGATATTTCAAACATTCACAGAAGAGAGAACAGCATGCAGCTGGGTATAATGGCACCTGTGCCCTGATTTGAGCATCTCTTTAGTCTGTTTTTGTTTGTATTACCCTCCCACTGTAGCCAGTCAGATGCTCTTTTGGTGGTACTGTGCTATTTGGGGAGCTTTTACATGATTTGGCCGACGCAGCCATAGCTAAAAATTGCAATCTTCTCCCACACATATTCAAAGGGAAAATGGGTTCCTTGCTGCGTGTTATGCAAATGGAATAGTCTACTGAGGTTTGCAATCTATTCCTTTATTTACTAGGCAATATTGAGAATGTGAAGAATATCTGTAAAACAAGGATGAAGAGACTGGACAGCTCCACCTGCCTTCATGCTGTTGGTGACAAAGCCGTGGAATTCTTCTTTGCTTCTGATGCAAGGTAATAAAATCCTTTTACCTTCCTGTCCTAGGGATTATATAACCAAAGAATGACTGTCTAAACACTATCTGTCTTTCTTTTCTTTCCTCTATGCTGCTGGGAATTGAACCCAGGACCTTTTACATAGTAGGCAAGCACTCTACCACTGAGCTATATCACCAGGCCACCATTTCTCACTTATCACCCCCCTTTGAGCTGTTTTCTCATAGCTCAGTAAGGGTTGAAGTCAAGTCAGATGTCTGCCTGGTCCTCCTCCTGGGATCTTCTTGTGATGAGCAACTGTGTGACTCTTGTAAACAGCCCTGGTGGCCACAACCTGACTCCAGTGGCCCACTGTTTGGGGCCTGTATAGAATAATTAAATTTGTTGCCAATATTTTGAAATTGGGAGAGTTTATAGAAAAACCTGGATTTCTAGATTCTCTGGCAAAAATAGCAGATCTGAACATGTTGGCCTGTGCTCCCTCAGTGCACACCCTTCCCTGTCCGCCCCCTTGTCTGGGAGAACTCCAAGTCCATCCCTTAAGGTGGAGCAGTGTCTCCAAACCCCAGTCCTTCCTCCACCATCCCTGCCTTTGTCCAAGGTCTGATTATTCACAAAAACAAAGCAAAGATTTAGGGGGTTTGTCTAGTTGTCTCTAAAGTGCTTGTTCCCATCAGTCCACAAAATACTAATTTTTGAAATTTTAGAAACTCTGACATATCTGTTTTGGTACATAAATTTTATACACACACACACACACACACACACACACACACAGAGGAAGAGAGGCAGGTGAGGAGAGAGAGAGACAGAGACAGACACCTCTATATAACCTCTTTCATCAAAGCTTTTCTTCCTTTTCATCCTGTTTGGCTTTTCTTCTCCACCCAACCTCTAGGAAGACCTTTTTCTGAAGCAGGGAGCACTCCAGGCCAGGTCTTCTGGAGACCTGTGAGGTCTGTTTCTGCCCATACCTGGCATCTACTGACATTGACAGTTAAGGCCAGTAATTCCCAAATTGTTTTCCTTAGAGCACCATTTCAGTGAGACGCTAATATTATTTTGATGGTTCACACAATTATCTTACATATTTTGGTCTGTATAAGTGACATCTTGCAACTAAAATTTTCTCAAGTTCGTATTTTATAGGAGCATAGAAAATAATTGTGACCTTACAATCAATGATATCTTGTAGTCAGTGAAATATGGGAGTTGATTCTAAATTAGAAAAAGACACAAATGCCTAAAAAGATGAAGCATTTATAGGCAATATAATTATGCACATTTTAAATCCAGTTGAAAGGCTATTAGGTCTAATTCTGCAGCTAGTCTGAAAATAAAGATGTGGAAATCTTAGGTCCCAGCAATAGTCATAGGCGGTCAGCTGCCTAGACAGGAGCCATATCTACCTTATTACTTGTATAATAGCTCCTCATGTAACCAGGCACTGTAGGCTGGCACTCAGCAAAGGTTTGCTGAGAAAGAAAAAGCAACACTAAAAAAAAAAAAAAAGGACTTTAAATAAATTCCTTAGAATTAATTTCAACACAAGTAATCCAGAAACAGAAGACTACAAAAGTTTATGATGAGAAAAAAGAGATTTGAATCAAGGGAGGTATTCCACGTTGCTTGGTAGGAAGGCTTAATATTACTTTTTTAAATTATTAGAATTATAATTTTAATTTAATGGTTCAGAATTGTTTAATTTTTTTAAAAATGTTGCTTCTCCATAAATAAATCTGTAAACTCAGTACTGCAGTTTAAATCCTAGAGGACTTTTTTTTGTTTAGGTTGTTGGAACTTAAAAAAGTGATTCTATGTAGTATATAAATAAGAAAGCCAACTGTTTTCACCTGTTTTCTGTTGCTATAACAAAATGCCCAAGAGTAGGCAACTTATAAAGAATAGAGGTGGTATTTAGCTCATAGTTCTGGAGTCTGAGAAGTCCCAGAACACGGTGCCAGCATCTATAAAGGGCCTCTTTGCTACGTCACAATGTGGCAGAAGGCACCATAGGGTGAGGTAGAGAGAGCTCACGTTCATAACATAGCTACTCCTATAACACCTCATTAATCTATTAGTCCGTTAACCCATGAATCCATGAATGGATTCATCCATTAAGAGATGGTCATCTCTTAAAGAACCCCACCTCCATATGACTTTGGGGATTAAATTTCTAACACATGAATTCTAGGAGACATACCCAAATCCTAGCACCAACATATACTGAGAAAGACGAATAACAATGGTGACCCTCTCAGATATGAAGACTCACTGTACTATAGAGCCCTCGGGACAACAGCAGCCAGGACAATGCTGTTTAGTGATCATAGTGTACCTTGGGTGAGGGTACAGAGGTCACCTCCTGTTCTAAAGAGCAAGACCATGGACAGGGCTCAGAGGGGTTCTCTATGTCACCAGAGGGCACATAAGACGGAGGTAAGCTAACTCCTCTGCCAAAGGTCTTAATACCATTAATAGATTATCATCTGCTTTGTAAATTAAAATAATAAGTACACTTACACATCTAGATATGCACACATAAATACAAACATACATCAAGCTTGTCAAAGAGCATTGCTGCAATGGAAGCAGTGTTTATCTCTTGGAGGTGAGATTGGACCATTTTTATTCTTCTTTTTATCACTCTTTTTACTTTGGATGCAATGGGTTCATGCTGTTTAAAATATTTTTTTTCCAGTGCAGTGGCTTGCCATCCTTTTTAATCTTTTCCACCCTGGGGTCTGAATGAAGTGACTTCTCAGAGCCAGAGAACTTGATAGTTTGTGTATTTAACTTTGCATCAGGAATTTGTGATTTTCTACAGAGCTGTGGGTCATGGTGGAATGAAGGGTTTTTCTCCCCAGGGGTTCTTCATGTACCCCCTCACGGCTTTTCCCATATCTGTGGTCCCTCTGTGCTTTGATTGCCCAACATTTTTTTATTAACCACTTTCCTAACTTTAAGCTTATTTTTAAAAGAAACTTGATATAACAATATCAAGGAGAAAATCACTTTCCATTCAGAAAAAGTTGTTATAAAAAATAAACACAACCCTGTATTTTATTGGTGGGCCTATCTTGTTGATTGCCTTAAGGTCCCACACACACACTTTTGTCTTGCTGTGTGTGTGTGTGTGTGTGTGTGTGTGTGTGTGTGTGTGTTAAGAAATGGGGCCATTTATCTGATGCATTCCCACTGTTTGGATTTTGCTTAATGCATCCCTTATAGTTTTGTTAAACATGTTCCTCTGTCTACTGTAGTTCCTATAGAGTTTAAAAGTTTCTAGAAGCTTGATCTTATTCACGATTGATTTTTTGGCAAGACTCCATAGGTGGTGGGTGTCCTTCCATCAGGAGGCACTTCAGGTCTCATTGTTTCTCTTTTTGTGCTAAGGTCAGTCAGGCAGCCAGGGGGTGAAGTGTTGCCAGCCTTATCCATCCATTGTAAAGTTTCTCTCAACTTTTCACTTCATGGTTTCAGCAGCCACTGATGGTCCTTGATTAGAGCTATTAATATGATGAGTTCAGGACTGGAGGCATGGCTCAAGTGATAGAGTCCTTGCCTACGAAGTACAAGCCCCTGAGTTCAAGCCCCAGTAACACCAAAAAAAATTTAAAAAGTTAATAATTAGGAGTTTATAAACTGATTATTCTACTTCTATCATTCCTTCTATATTAGCTGAATTACTTTTCTTTTTTTCCTTTTTTTTTTTTTTCTTGGCAGTACTGGGGGTTGAACTCACGGCCTTGGGTTTGTTAGGCAGGTGCTCTACCATTTTTGCCAGACCCCTATCCCTTTTCCGCTTTGGTTATTTTGGGGTTCAGGCTGACTTTGAACCTCCTGACCTCCACCTCCCAAGTAGCTGGGATTAGAGAACTGAATCACTGCACCAGGCCTTAGCTATATTACTTCTATAAAGAGAAAGTTGTTTTCATAAACTATGAGGTTATTCTGGAGGACAACTGTTTAAAAAAAAAATGCTTCCTTCTTTCCCTGAACATTTCAGAATAGTGCATTGGTTTCCAAGCTTGAAGAACCAATTATAAAAATAATCCATGAGATTGTTCAGTGAAATTTGAATATATTGGAAATTCAATGATTCGAGGGAAGAACTGTAAATTTTAGATATGATGTTGGTATGGTAGTTGGTTTAAAAATAGTCCTTATTTTTTAGAGATATAAGCAAAAATTTTACAGAAGAAATGATACCATGTTCCCATACATTCTATAATGGGTTAAAGTTAGGGTTCGGTCTAACCTTAACTGGCTTCAAAACAATTTTGTGGGAGGAGGAGAGAGATGTGAAGAGGGGGAAAATTCACTGCAAATTTGTGTTTTTAGTTGGGTGCTGTGATAACTCCTCCAAGGCCACTGATAAGGAGTTCATACTTGGTAACAATTAAGGGAAAGGTACAATTTTGATGCCTGTGTTTCCCTCACTCCAGCGCCATCATAGAACACACCAACCGGGTCATCTTCCTGGAGGATGATGATATCGCTGCAGTAGCTGATGGGAAACTCTCCATTCACCGAGTCAAGCGCTCAGCTAGTGATGACCCATCTCGAGCTATCCAGACCTTGCAGATGGAATTGCAGCAAATCATGAAAGGTAGGTGTCCTCTGAGAGCACATGTGAGCAGGTCTGGTGGGAGGAGGGGTCCTGACACTTTGCCTTGTTCTTGCCTTCCTACCCTCTATGATCACTGGGGAAGGGCTGCAGGTGACCTGTGACTTACACAGCTGAGAGGCTGTGGAGAGCCTGGCTTAGCACCTCCTAAGGGGAGCTCCTGTCTATATTCAGAATCTGCTCGATATGACCCCAGTCTGTTCTCTGACTCCCTCAAATAACATTCCTACATCTCAGTCATCACTTGTCCTCTGGACAAGAAGTCTTCAGTAATGGGATGCTGTGACCCACTTTCTCCCGACAAGTAGAACCTGTATCTCTGCACCCACTTTTGTTGTGTGGGGGCATTTTTTCAGACAGGATCTTGCTATGTTGCTCCTGCCAGCCTCATAACCCTTGATTCTCCTGCTTCAGCCTCCCAAGTGCTGGGATTATAGTTGTATACCACTGTGCCTGGCTGTTCTGCACTTACTTTTGTCCTCAACAATCTCTACTCCACAAGGCAGCCTGAGGAAAGTTTTAAGAACTTGAATCAGACCCTGCTATCATCTTGCTGCATAAAGGCCACTAATAACTTCCCAGAATTCTTAGAATAAAATCCAAACTCCGTGCTTTGGTCCATAAGCTCCCCACCCCCACCTAAGCCTGTCCCCACCATATTCAACTCTTTGCTTATCATACCCTGCCCTGACCAGGCTGCCTCACTGTTTCATGGGAAGGCCAACTGCTTGTCCACTTGGGGGTGGGGGGGAGTCCCTGATTTACTATCCTAAATCTAACACTGGCTTCTTTTGGTTATCCCAAGTGCCTCTGAAACATCACCCCTCACAGAGCCCTTCTCTGATCCTTTGCTCCATGACCCTTCCCAACCCCCTCACCCACGGTGGCCACCTCTTCACTTGCTTTATTTGCTTTGTGGCACTCTGTATAAGTACCTGACCTGCTTCCTTTAACTTGTCCCCATCATCAGAAGGTAGGCCAATACCTAGGGATGCCCTTAGGAATCTACAGTGGGCTTCACAGGTGTCACTGTCGCTACTGCATGCAGGCTTTAACCAAGCTTTTCCCGACTAAAAGCTAAGCCACAGAAATGCAACTAAATGAACACTGACCCACCTCACTGATGTTTATTTGACCAGGTAACTTCAGCGCATTTATGCAGAAGGAGATCTTTGAACAGCCAGAATCGGTTTTCAATACCATGAGAGGTCGGGTGAATTTTGAGACCAACACAGGTAACCCCAGTACTCAGTGGGAAGCCCCCTACTGTGCACCATAGTCACTGTGTAGAGTCAGCATTAACACCCTGCCTGCCATGTGTCCTGCAGTGCTGCTGGGCGGCTTGAAGGACCATTTGAAAGAGATTCGAAGATGCCGAAGGCTCATTGTCATTGGATGTGGAACCAGCTACCACGCTGCTGTGGCTGTAAGTGCAACACACTGCATCATTGATAACGCAGGGGAATTAACAGTGGTCTAGGGTGAATCACTTAAATTTTATCATGCATTGGCCTTCTGTATTTGACAAAGTCCTTGAACCCATTCCCATAAGCCAACTTGAAAAGTGGCACTGAGCCCTTTCTTCTTCACGGTAGCCTGTGAGAGACTGAAGCCCCCTCAGCCTCTGGACAGGAACGCACCATGTCACAAACTGACCCTAGAAGCTCAGCTGCCCCATATCCTTGCACTGCCCATAACTGACGTTAGTTTCCATTCTTTTTGACTTCAGACACGACAAGTTTTGGAGGAACTGACAGAGCTCCCTGTAATGGTTGAACTTGCCAGTGATTTTCTGGACAGGAACACACCTGTGTTCAGGGATGATGTTTGTTTTTTTATAAGCCAGTCAGGTAAGGGATACAGGCAACATTGCCAACTGTGCATTCGTTCATCTCTGGTCTCTCTTTTCTCTGCCCCATATTATATTACATCACCTACCATGTGCCATACACTCTCCCATACATCAGGTCACTCAACCCTCAAAGTCATCAGATACTGCCATCATTTTATAGGGAAAGCCTGCAGCCAGGGTATGATAGAGCCGAAGTGAGGCTAAGAATCCAGGCCCATCTCCTGCTATTGAAAGTTCAGCAATTCAAGGACCACTGACCAAGGTTCGCATAAATGTTTGCTGGATTTAGTTGAGAGAAAAATCTCCAAAATGCTTGGAGATTGAGAGTCATGTGTAGTGTGGGGCTCTGTGCCCAAATCCCAACTGCCAGATGTTGCAGTGCCCATACTGTCCAGCAGGGGGGAGATGTGGAGCAGCCCTGCTCTGGTTTAGGGAGAAGGGTGCTCCCTAGCTGAGTTAACCCTGCCTGGGCGCCCTCCTGACACTACTTGTGGAGTTTGCTGTAGCTGGGTGGGTTACTGGGTCTGGGAGGGATTCCATAGCCATGTCCTTGGAGTCTCCTTGAGCTTTAGGAAGATCTTGTAAAATGTTTTAACTATGGAGAATTCCAAACCCTTATAAAAGTAGAGATTCATGTAGTGAATTGTCTAGCCTCAGCAATGATCAATTCAGCCAGTCTTGTGTCACCCATATCTGCCATTCACCTGTTCCCTTCTCTGGTTTATCTTGAAGCTAGTGCTATACGTCATGTCATTTCTTCCGTAAGTACTTCAGAATGTACAATAAAAATGATAAAAGAAAAAAACATAGCCACAATGGGAAACTTGACAGTGATGCTGTAACATCCATAGGGCCTTTTTAATATTGCTTCCATTTTGACTTTTTTTGTGTGGTACTGGGACTTGAACTCAGGGCCTACACCTTGAGCCACTCCACCACCCCTTTTTTTGTGAAGGGTTTTTTCAAGATAGGGTCTCACGAAGTATTTGCCCGGATTGGCTTCAAAACGCGATCCTCCTGATTTCGGCCTCCTGAGTAGCCAGGATTACAGGCGTGAGCCATCTGAGCCCGGCCCATTTTGAATTCTTAATACCATTTCCATTTTAATGACAAGCTAAGAAAAACTAGTGCAGACTTTCCCACCATCTCACTGACCACCTTGTTACACAGAGGTTGCTGCAGTTGCCTTTGGGTTGATGATTCCATCAGACCCTAAAAATATTTCAGGAATCAATGGGAGCAATTAACAAAACAACAGAGGTGGATTTCCTGTGAAAGTAATGAAGTGCAGCACTTGAATCTCTACAGAAATGTTAACTCTTCAATGAGATGGGTGGGAGGGACCAATCAAGGGCTGAGGAAGGTAGCCCCGCCCTTATCCGTTCCCACCCCACCACTGGTGCTGAGAAAGGCCTGATGACCCTCCAAGCTCTAAACCTGGAAGTCCAAAGAGAAAAAAAGGAGAGAAACTGCAGCAAAGCTAGGATAAGCACAGCCAAGAGCTGTGGCCACATGGACGGGTCCAGAGAGTTGTGCAGTCAGTGGTTGGGATTTTATGGTCTGGTTTATATTTAATTTAGTTTGGGTTTTTTAAGAGTTACCAAACACAGGGTATTTGTGCTGGGTTATGCATGAACCTGTTTTAAGTATTTTTTATTTTATTATAAAAATGATTTTGGTACACATTGGGAGGCTGCAAGAAGTATTTCCTTTCGAACAAGGTCTATTTGAGAAACACCACCTGTGTGTGTTTGGTGGTGATGTGGGGGGGTGGTTCTTGCTCTTTAAAAGTCGAATCTTAAACCCTAGCACTTTGTGAATAAGGCAGCTTAGAATCATAGAAAGCGGATTGGAAGTCAGGCCCACTGTGGCCCGCAGCTGTGTGGCCTTGATGGGGACATTGATTCCATCCTGGCTCTGAGCCCTTCATCCTAAGGTGCAAGTGGGGAGAGTGGCCCCACAGGGTTGTCAAGAGAATGCAGTGAAACAGTGGATGAGAGAGCGTTCCCCACAAATAGTAAGGAAGCCTTGAATCTAAGAATCTACAGGAGAAAAAAGTTGAGCTTGCATCTTTTCCTGCATGCTGGCTGGCTGTGTCTTGGGTGCCATTTCTTGTAGGAGCTGGCGTTAATGGGTGAGGAGGGCGGGGGAGGGGGTTAGGCTGGCAGAGCGCCCGCACTTGCAGACTGAAAGGGCCCCTGTGTGCAGGCGAGACTGCAGATACGCTCCTGGCTCTGCGCTACTGCAAGGACCGCCGCGCCCTGACCGTGGGCGTCACCAACACCGTGGGCAGCTCCATCTCCCGCGAGACGGACTGCGGCGTCCACATCAACGCAGGGCCGGAGATCGGCGTGGCCAGCACCAAGGTAGGCTTTGCCTGCGCTCCTTGTGGGAGAGCCTGGGTGGGTGGATGGATGGGGGCCTTGAGGGGTGGCCTCCTCTCCTGCAAGCAGTTACGCCATGCTCTGCCCCGCACCTCTTTGTCCCTTCCTTCCCTTCTTTCTCCCTTCCTCCCTTCTTTCTTTCCTTCCCTCCCTTTCTCTCTTTCCACCCTCCCTCCTTCCCCCTTCCTGGGTATTTTTTTCTTCTTATTTAGAGTTTCATTTTGTTCATACATCATTTTCCTGTCTTTGTCCGTGTCATCCTTTAGTGCTTCAAGCATCTTTGAGACAATTATTTTAGAATCTTTTCTGCTATTCTTCTTTGTCCACAGGCTTACACCAGTCAGTTCATCTCTCTGGTGATGTTTGGTTTGATGATGTCTGAAGACCGAATTTCACTGCAAACTAGGAGGCAAGAGATCATTCGTGGCCTGAGATCTTTACCTGGTATGTTACAGAACTCCCTTCCTTCCTTCCTCCCTCCCCCCTCCCTTCTCTCTCTCTCTCTCTCTCTCTCTCTCTCTCTCTCTCTCTCTCTCTCTCTCTCTCTTCCCCCTTCCCTCTCCCTCTCCCTCTCCCTCTCTCTTTTCTTTCTTTCAATAATGTCTCACTGTGTAACCCAGGCCAGCACTGAACTCTTGATCCTCCTCCCTCAGCCTCCCTAGTGCTCTATTTTCAAATCCCATGGACTGTGCTTGGCCACTCTCTTCCTTGGCTCTTTCCTGTAAACAATACTGTCAATCCCTCTCTCCCCCTAGGACTATCTACCCACCATTAAATCCCTCCAGAAGTTCCCCTTGGGCCAAGATTCAAACCCACCCTCCTCCCCAGGTCCTGGAGCCCTACGCACTGAGCCACTATTGCCTGTGACCTCATCCTGCGCCCTCCTCCCTGGGCTGCCTTAGCCACTGAGTACTTGGCAGACATTTGTTCAAAAATGAGCAAAGTTGGCACCTCAAGAGAAACAAACAGTATTTGTTGCCAATAATATACATCAAGCTTTCAATCAAAACTTAGAATTTTGGAAAACTTGTACCTACCATCATGAGTTTGACCAACTCCCAACATTTAAAGACTTTTCTGAGACCATAGTGATGTTTTTCTTTTTTTGGTGTAACTGAGGTTTGAATTCAGGGCTTCATGATTGTAAAGCAGGTGCTATACTACATCTCCAGTCCATTTTGTTGTAGTTATTTTGAATATGGAATCTTGAGAAATATTTGCCCAGGCTGGCCTCAAACCTCAATCCTCCCAATCTCAGCCTCCCAAGTAGCTAGGGATTATAGGCATAAGCCTGAGATCATGGTGATTTTAATAAATGTGATTTCTAAAATATATTTTATAATGAAATGTGTCCATTTTTAGGGGATTTATATGACTTTATGCAGTGATGTTACACAATTATGCAGGTGTAAATGAACCATTTGAAGTGAAAAACAGACCAATAGATTTTTTTGTAACAAACTAGAAAAACTTTGTTGATATAATTTCAGATTCTACATCTGCAGCTACTGTTTTTACAAACTATTGCTTCTCAAGTTTGCTATAGTATTAAACACAACAGATTAAATGCATAAGCAGAGATGAGAGTTGACTGTCTTTAATTAAAAAGTCAGACATTAAACAGATATGCAAAAATATTAAATAGTGCTACTCTTCTCACCCATCTTTTCCAGAAAATAGAATAACTAACACAATAGGTTTATTATTATTTTTAAATGAATTAATAAATATTTTTAAATTTCTCAGTGTTATTTTCTAATCTAGTAACTTCAGAGATATAACCCACAAAAAACAAAGGCTGTTAGGAATTTGCAATAATTCTTAAGATTGCAAAGGAGTCCTGGGGCCAGAAAGTTCAAGCACTGCTGGCCTTAACACTGGCTTTACCTTGAGACATAGCACTTGGCAGGGAAGAAAGTGTTGATTTGGAGTGTAGGTTCTGTGTCTTGCCAGCTGGTTGATTTTGTTTTTTCTCTCTAAGCCTCAGTTCCATTCCTGTTAAAAAAAAAAATACTAGAAATAATAGTTCCCTACCTTCCTTTTAGGTACTCAAGGAAAGTATTCACACAAATTTGAATTAACGCTCAACAAAGTCCTGGTCAGTAACTCAAGCTATTTCCCATAAGCTAAGTTTAAAACCCTTCTAAACTAATGCAAGATGCAAAGTATCGAAAGGGACATGGGTTCCAAAACCTTGTGTTGTACCCTATTATTTTTGTTCTGAGTGTTGTTTTGAAATCAGAATGACTGGCTTTTTGCTCTGTCTTGTGCTTGGCCTAGAGCTGATCAAGGAAGTGCTGTCGCTGGATGAGAAGATCCACGACCTGGCTCTGGAGCTCTACACACAGAGGTCGCTCCTGGTGATGGGACGGGGCTATAACTATGCCACCTGCCTGGAAGGAGCCTTGGTGAGCGCTCCTTGCCCGGCCCCCACCTCCAGTGGCCCGTACTGCTAAGCAATATGGAGGCAGGCAGAAGAAATCCGAAAAACACGGTGAAAAGGAGAGCATAAGTGGTCTTCAGCTCCCTCCTCTGTGGTGGGACGTGCTCTTCCCTCCCCACCAGCCCCCAGCCAGCGGTTCACAAGAAATGTTCAGCTGCATTGCAATCACTAGCCGAGCGGATTGATGCATACCTAGCTCAGAGTACAGGTGAAGGAGTGTAGAATTTCCATACTCTCTCCAGGTGCTCCCCCTTCCAGGATTCTCCATGTGTTCAGTTATCCAGAAGCTCGCCAAATACTCTTGTGTTTTGTAGAGGCTTCACTACATGGGTCTGATGGATTCAATCATTGGTCATGAATGACCAACTTAGCCATCAGCACTTGTGCCCTCTCCAGAGGTTGGGGTGGCATGGGACTTAAAGTTCCAGCCCTCTGATCCTCCCTTGGCCTATCTAGTGACCTGTCCTATCCTGAAGCCACTTAGGAGCTTCTAGCCATCACTCAGTTATTAGCGTAGAAAGATAACTGTCATCTGGAACAGTCTAAGGATTTTAGGAATTTTGTGCCAAGAAAGGGGTCTAAGACCAAATATGTCTTTCACAATATCACAGCCCATCACTCCCTCGTCTTTGAACTTGAATCATGTACAAGATTCTGACTCTGATTAAAGAAAGCGAGAAGCTGGCACACACTGCTTCTCAGGGGGCACAGGAGAAGTAAGGCCTGGGTGGGATGCACTTTCGGCCCCCAGGTAGTTCTGCTGCTTGGCTGGAAGGGCTCAGCTGCAGTGGCTAAATGTTGCTGGTCAAAGATGTGTTTTCAACTGCATCTCCAAGTTAGTCTTTAGGGAAAGCTGCTGCTGGCACAAGTCATTGGCCCTCTGTGGTCACTCAAAGGCCAAGCATTTCAGCTGTCTGTGGTCTTCAGGGAAGAATCTCGTTCTTTACAGTGTTTCCCTGACCAAATAAATAGCTGTAGGAGAATGGAAGGATGTTTTCTTTGACACTCTCATTGGTGCAATGGTGTAGACTTAATGGTAACTGAATAGAAATGGATGTAGCCGGGGTTGGGGATTTAGCTCAGTGGAAGAGCGCTTGCCTGGCAAGTGTAAGGCCCTGAGTTCGGTCCCCAGCACCGAAAAAAAAAAAAAAAAAAAAAGAAATGGATGTAGCCAAACATAGGAAAAACATCAACTAACAGCCCAGGGTGTGGAATTTTACTAGATAGGTCAATTAAAGCAAGACTTTGGAAGTTATTAAGGTTCTAAAATGGGGGTTAGGTGGGGAGGTGATTAACCAGGTAATTGAGTAAGGGTAGAGCTAAGAAGAACACAATGCCATAAAATGGAGAGGCCATGTGACTGACTTAGGACAGGGAAGAAGGCTGGCAAGACTCATGCCAATGTTCCATCCAAAGGGGGTAGCCAGGTGATGGCCTGAGGACACAGAGGCTGCCAGTGGGGCTTTGTGCATGTCCTGGACAGCAGTCAGACCTCTCTCCTGGCCCTAGCCTTGTGGTGGCTGCTGTAGATCCATCCATACATCCATTTGCTTTGTGACCCTCAACTCTCACCTTACATGCCCTCCCGCCCCCCCCCACCAGCTTTCTTCTTCCTCTCCAGCTGTTCTGCTGCAGCCCCTGGTCTGCCTAGTGTGATATGGATCCCACCTTGTGTTTCTCCAGAAAATCAAAGAGATAACCTACATGCACTCAGAAGGCATCCTGGCTGGGGAGCTGAAACATGGGCCCCTGGCTCTGGTTGACAAGCAGATGCCAGTCATCATGGTCATCATGAAGGATCCGTGCTTTGCCAAATGCCAGAACGCCCTGCAGCAGGTCACAGCCCGCCAGGTGAGAGCCCTTTTCAGGGCTGGGGCTCCCTCACCCCTGCTGTCTTTTACACATGCCCACCTCACCAACCATCTGCCAGCAGTGACTATGGATTGGGCTGGCAGTGAGTAGGTGTGAGCACACCCTCTCCTGGGTCCCTTACTGGACACATTTGGAAGGGAACTAACCAACCTACAGCCATGTCCTACAACACTTCCTCAGTGAGGTCCAGTGACCAGACTGTCCCCAGTTGCCCTGGATCCTAGACCTGGAGACCAGAGGAGGCACTCCTGGAAGAGAGCCCTGGGATCCAGATTTTCCCCTCCACAGTGACTGAAATGCAGTTCCAATGCTAATACTATTAGCATTAGAGTTAGGCCAGAATTCACAGGTTAAGGACCCAATCCTCAACATGCTGCTTTAATTTCCAGAATCACACTGGGGGATTTATAGGGCACCCACACCTTGGACCAACTGGCTGCAATTTGGGAGTTCCCATACCCCCCTCAGGTTTAGCAGTTCCCTAGAACAACCCACTGAACTTGGAAAAGTGCTATACTTACTGTTACAATGACTGTGACTCAGGACCATCCCCAAAGAAGAGACTCACAGGGCAAGGGTCCCAAGCATGAAGCTTCTGCACCCTCAGGATGGGTCACCCTCCTGGTGCATCAGTGTGTGTCACCAGGGAGCTCACCTGAGCTTCTGGCTTCAGGATTTTTATTGGGGTTTCACTAAGTAAGCATGGTTGATTGGATAATTGCGCCCCTTCTGACCTTCATGGCTCAAAGCCCCAACTGTCTGATCAGCCCCCATTCTGAAACTATCTATGGACCCATCATGAGTCACCTCATTAGCATAAACTCAGGTGTGATCCAAGGGGACCTCCATGAATAATGACACTTCTAATCACCGAGGAAAGTCCAAAGATTTATCTGCTCCCTCCCAGGAACCAGGGATAAAACCTAGCCAGTTTCTTTATTATACAACAGCTTCCCTGAGGTAGGAAGGCAGAGCCCCCCCCACAGATGCATTCTGGGAGGGCTTCATGAAGTACAGGAGGTGAGATCCAATATGGCGCTTAAGCTACCTGGTGCCACATTTGTCTCAGCAGAGGTCAGAGAGATGGTATAAAACACTGTTGTATCATTTCCCTGCTGAAAATCCTTCTGAAGTGCCCCATCAAACTGCAGTGACCCACAAGCCTGAATTGTCTTCCCCTTCTTCCTTTCTACCTAGTTCCAGCTGCTCCCCCCTTCTTTCTGTTCCCCAATCATGTCAAGCTCATTCCTGCTTCTGAGCCTTTGCATTGGCTGTTCATGCTTTCTGAAATGCTGTTCTCACAGATCAGAGTCAGCCCCTCAGCATTAAGGTCTCAACTCAATCCAGATATCTCCTTTTGTGAGAGGCCGTCTCAGTCACATCACCCTGTTTTATTGCCCTTGTGATGCTTATCTAAAATGCATCTTTATTTCTTGGTTTGTTTGTTTATGATTTTGTTTTCCATCATGAAATTTTGAGCTCCATTAAAGTTCGGAGTGGGTCTGCCAGAACCTGTGTGTGTGTGTGTGTGTGTGTGTGTGTGTGTATAGTACTAGGTTTTGAACTCAGGGCCTACACTTTGAGCCACCACTCCACCAGCCCTTTGTGTGTGTGTGTGTTGGGTATTTTCAAGAGAGGGTCTCTCGAACTATTTGCCTGGGCTGGCTTCAAACCGCCATCCTCCTGATCTCTGCCTCCTGAGTAGCTAAGATTACAGGTGTGAGCCACTGGCACCTGGCCTGCCAGAATCTTTTAAGGCACTCTGAAGCCACTCAGCAGAACGGTGCAGAGTGATAGGGCAAGATGACAATCACCTCCTCAAGGAAAGGAAATAAACACCCCACGTGCCGTCCCTTACATAAATCATGCATAGGACCTCTCCTGTAATTCCAGCAAAATTAAAAGGTTAATGTTATCATTGCAGTAATGCTAAGTGCAGGACCTCTGCTGTGTGTAATGGCTTGCTTCTTTTTTAAAAAATCAATTTTTATTACATATAGTTATTAGCATATATTAATTGTATAGAGTGGTTTCGTTGTGGTATTTCCAGACATAAATATATTACACTTTGATCAAATTCACCCCCTCTATTACTTTGTTTCTCCCATCCCCCTCCCCTCCTTTTTAATTTTTAACAGTTTTTAGTGAGTTCAATTATGCTATTTTCATACTTAAATATAAATACTTCATCATATTCATCCCTCCCAGCACCCACTCCTTCCCCTCTCTCCCTCCCCCCCACTATAGTCCCCCTGCCCCACTGTAACAGTTCCACATTTACATTGATGTTTCTTTTGGAAACAATATTTTATGACCATGATTCTCTGCTTCAGGGTCGCCCAATTATACTGTGCTCCAAGGATGACACTGAGAGCTCCAAGTTTGCGTATAAAACCATCGAGCTGCCCCATACTGTGGACTGCCTGCAGGGCATCCTAAGTGTGATTCCCCTTCAACTTCTTTCCTTCCACCTGGCCGTTCTCCGAGGATATGACGTAAGTCTAAAAATTGTACTTAACATAGCAAAGAGAAGAAGGATACCCCAAACTACCTTGTCCATAAGTGGTTTTGTTTGTTTGTTTGGCAGGATTGGAGTTGAACTCAGGGCCTCATGCTTGCTAGGCAGGTGCTTTTACCACTTGAGCCACTCTGCCAGCCCAAGTTTATTTTTAACTGACATGTACCTGTACATATTTATGGAGCACATTGTATGTGTGTATGAACATGTACACATGTGTAATGCCAAAATTCTTTTTCATTTTTAAAATACTTATTTGGAGTAAATAGTCCTAGGAGAAATAATTGCATTTAAAGTAACTTTCTGTTGAAGGTGGCTTATACCCCTGAGAACTGCAATGTAGAGAAGACCATCATATCATTAAATCATAACCTCACCACTCAGGGGCAATGTAATTAACAAATTTAATATTTTATTCCACTGAACATGTGAGTTTTTTAAAAACATTTTTCAAACCAGGCACACACCTGGAATCCCAGTAGTCATGAGACCAAGGCAGAGGGATCATGAGTTGAAGTTAGCCTGGGCTACAATAAAAAGACCCCATCTCAAAATACCAAAACAAAACCCAAAATTGTTCAATATCATTTCAAGGATAAGGTTTTGCTTCTTTTTATTTATTATATTACACATATTTTCTATGAAATTGTTATGCACATTTAATCATTGCTTAAAAATCCATCACAATCTTATCACGATTTTCTTAACAATTACTTACCCAGTCTTCTATTATGTAAACTTGTCCAGTTTTTCATCTTCGTAAGTAACACTGCAGTGAACATCTTTGTACATATATCTTTGCTCCACATTGAGGGTTTATTCTTGGTCAAGCAAATGGGTTGTCAAATGAGCAAGTGAGTCTCCTAACATATATTGCCAAGTTATGTTCCAAAAAAGAATGAATTTATGATCTTACCAGTAAGTGTATAAAAGTGTATATTTCATTGTGCAAAGAAATAGGTGTTTTATTATAGTTTTGTTTTTTTTTTTTTTGGCAATATTGGGGCTGGCAGGAACTTGAAAGTTTACTAGGCAGGTGCTCTACAACTTGAGCCATGTCCCCAGTCCAAAATTCATTGGCTTTATTGTCCACTTTGAGATTTGTTGTTGTTGGTACTGGGGCTTGAACTCAGGGCCTCGTGATTGCTAGTCAGGTACTCTACTGCTTGAGCCATACCTCCAGCTCCCTTATTACAGTTTTATTTTGAGAACCGTTTTTAAAACACATAACACAAAGAACAATATAACAGAAACCTGATTGTTTATTACCATCCAGAATTAATATTTGATAACATTTCATCACATTTGTTTCATCCTTTCTTACATAAATAAGACATTACAGACAAAGTGGAAGCTTACTTTATCAACCATTCCAAGTCATGTTTCTGTGCCACTCTCCACCCTAAAATAACGAGTCTCATGAAATTTATGTGTATCCTTCCAAGAAAAGTGAATTTTTTATGATTTATTTATATATTTTTGTCATGCTGGGGACCAAACCCAGAGCCTTACACCTGCTCAGCAAGTGCTTTACCATTGAGCTATACCGCTAACCCTGAAAAGTATCTATTTTTTTATTTTGAGACAGTTCCTGCTATGTAGCACAGGCTGGCTTTGAACTTGCTGTATAGTCAAGGCTAGCTCACTCTTCCTGAGTGCTGGGATTTCAGGCATGTACTACCACACCCAACAACTGAAAAGTGAATTTTTAGCAGTACACATCAAGCCAATTGTTTTTAAATGCATGAGTCATATTCTTTTAATAGTGTTGACACAACATGACACATATCAGGTGCACAAGAAATGCTTATTGGATGAACTAAAAACTATACAGTTAAATGAAGCTTCTGGAGTAAGGAATCCGCTTCCAAGATGTAGATGGTCAGGTAGCTCATGGTTGGCAGTGACCAGGAGTACCTGTCTCCTTGGGTTCAAGTACTTTGATAAAAGCCATTAAGATGTCCACCTGTTGCTGTGTGGTATGTGGGTTCCTGAGGCTCCTGTCTTTCCTTTTAGGTTGACTTCCCCAGAAATCTGGCCAAGTCTGTCACTGTAGAATGAGAACAAGATCATGATAAGACCATCAGCACCGTTAGTCTGATTCAAGATCTGTCCCAACCGCAGGGACGCCACGTGGGAAAAGAAGTGGGATTCCACGTGTTCCCAGTAGAGCTTGACAGCTTCGATGTGCCTTGTACCCAAGTGCTTTGGCTTACAGCAAATACTGTTTCTCTGTGTCCTGACATCGCCCAAGGAGAAGGGGGGATCATTGTTTACACAAGGGGATCAGAGCAGACTTTTCCACTACTGTGCAATAGAGATACCGCTCTCTTCAGAGTAACTGTGAACCTTTTTTAACCAATACTAGTTAGTTTTTAAAAACAAAATATTTATAATGATGACTGTATAGCTTTTAAGTTATTTTTCTAGTATGTGGCTTTCTGTAGTGTGCTAACACCTAGACTGTGCACCTCAGCTATCCAGTGCGCCATCTTTGGTCTCCCTCCTCACTAGTGGCATTCATCTCAGATTTGAGCACAAGGCATTGACCCTCTGGACTCCTTTCTCCTTTTCCTTCCTGTTCAAGCTGCTCCTGATTCCCTCCTCTGACATCAGTGAAGCCCCTCCAGCTATCTTCCTATATCTTCTGTAAGTCCAGTTGAAATCTCTACTTCTTTGAGCATTTTCTTCTCGAATGGACCGAAATCCCTCCAACTCTCCAGTTTCTGTTTCATCAGATCATGGATCTTTTTAACCCCTGCCAGCACTTTGATCCCTACTCACATAAAACAGCTTGAAATGTCCAGTGCAAGAGGGCAGTTTCAAGTGGGCTACCCTGCTCTCTACTTAAAAGCGTGCACAATCAAAGTACTATGCAATTTTAAGACAATAAAGACAGTACAATTTGGGGTGCTCTTGAGTGTTTGCATTTGGTTAACCTCATTCTTATTGTGCACTTTGAATTTGGCGATCGGCAGTGTCGACTGGGAACAGCCCTGTTAGTGATACAATTGGGATATGGTTTGAGCGTGTCCTCCAGCAGTTCATGTGTTGAAATTTAATCCTGTTTGGGAAGTATAAAGAGGATGGAAACTTAATCTGACTATGGTGTTTAGAGGTTGGGTCTTTGGAAGGTGATTAAGATTAAAGTCATTGGGGCAGAGGCCCCATGATTGAATTACCAGCGACTTGATTAAAGAGGGAGAGAGACCAGGACACACATGTACCATGTGATGCCCTGCACCACCCTCAGGACTGTGCCAGCAAGAAGGCCATCACCAGATGTGGCTCCTCACTAGGGGAGGAACTTTGACTTAAATAAACCTCTCTTTATCAACTTACCTAGCCTCAGGTATTTTATTCTAGTAAACCAAAAAAATAATAAAACCAATATAGCTAGTAACCATTACCATCACCCATATATCCATGACCTGTGTGCTTCTCATACAAAAGTTAGAACTGTTTTATCTGATGCCACAAAATATAGGGGGTTTGGGACTCTCAACTGAGGGTCTGCCAAACCTGGAGGGGGCTGAGCCATGTGACACTGCTTGAGATGGAAGAGTATGGAGGCAGAATGGAGGGATGAAACTCAAATTTATTCTTCTTTCTTCCCAATGAGCCTATTATAATCATTGATCATATTACAATCAGGCAGGAAGATAGAAAGCCAGAGGGTTCTGAAGGTTTGTGAGTTTGGCATTTAGGCTAGCTACTTGCATCCTGTTGCACATATAGAATGGTGTCTTCATGACTGCTGCTCAGTAGGGTAACACTCAAATCTCAAATCTTTGTTCCAGATTACCTGGGGACTCCACAACTTTTCCATCCTCTTTTATTCTGTTCCCTGTATCAAACGGGCTGGAAGCGTGGGAACTACATTTGCGAGTTAAACTCCACCAGTGAGAGGCAGCCATGGAAGAGAGTGGAGAGGCAGAAATCATTATAGATGGTTCCCAACTAATGGTGATTCAACTCACAAGTTTTTGACTTCACTCTAGTGCCAAGGGACAGGCATTCAATTGAAACCATCTAATACCCATATGACCATTGTAGTTTTCATTTTTGAGTACAGTATTCAAGAAATGATGCTTTATTGTAAAATAGGATTTGTGTTAGATAAGTTTGTCCATCTGTAGGCTACTATAGTGTTCTGAGCACATAGCTAAAGCTATGATTGGACAGTATATTACATGTGTTTTCAACTCACAGTGTTTTCAGCTGATGCTGGGCTTATCTAGATGCTACCACAGGTGAACAGAGGAGAATCAGTTATGCATTTCTATCCTGGCAGAGGCAAATGGAAATGTGGCTTCATCAGTAAGGGATTCTGATATGGCCCTTGAGTACTCTCCCAAACCCACCACTTCAGGGCTCTAGGCAGGGATGACCACAGACAGAAGTTTCCTGCATCCCTTTCAAAACTCCAACCCTTGAGCACTGGCAGGAACTCAAGAGCTACTGTGGCTTTTCTTGACCTCCACCTTCCAGTCCTCACAATGAAGAGGTAACTCCTGCTGATTTCTGGCTTTCCAACCATACCATGACCCATACAACTCCTAAAATTAGGAAACTATTTACAAACTAGTCAGGACATTTTTATTTGATCAAGACCTCGAAAAGTGTATTTCACCTTTATGCCTAAGAGGCAATAACCATACTGACTTTTGTGTTAATTATTCCCTTTTCTTTGTGGTTACACCTGTATATTATCTTAAAATAATAATATACAGTTGGCTTTCTGTATCCATGGATTTCACACCGAGGGAGTCAACGAACCACATATGGAAAATATTTGAAAAAAATTCCAGAAAGTTCTAAAAAAGCAAAACTTGGATTTGCTGCACACTGAGTACTATGCTGATTCCACATGAATAAAGTGATATGTGGGCATTGTATTAGGGATTATAAGTTATTTAGAGATGATTTACAGTATATGAGAGGATGTGTATAGCTGCTACACAAATGCTATGCCATTTTGCATGTGGGGAGCACCTACAGATTCTGTATCCATGGGGAGATGGGGGGTAAGTTAGAACCAATCCTCTAGGGATATTTAGGGGACTGTGTTGCCTAATTTTGAAAATGGAGGACAACCACATACTGCCCCACTGGATGGAGGCTCCAGGATTGGTCTCCAAGTCATGGGTTGGCTTCCATTCCTCTTCCCCTTCTGAAGAAGTTGTGAGCAAGGTCACCGGCAAGTTCTGAGTCAGGGTTGTCCACAGTTGGGTGCCTGGCAGGGGTGAGGTGTGGACCAGGTACTGGACATGCAGCAGAAATGCAGTCAGAGGTAGAGGGTCTGCTCTGTACCTTCTGCTTCTAAACCTACCATGGCCTACCTCCAGCAGGGTGAAGAGACCCTTGTAAGCACATAGTTAAGCCAAGCCAAGTACTGTTGAGAACCTGAGCCAAGCTCTCCTGGGTATTCAGTCCTCAAGTTAAAAAGATGGCTCCTAGGGAAGTGAGAGTCTTGATGATGACAGTCTATCTCAGGTCATATGGCTCATCTGGAGCACAGCTGTCATCCAGGATCACTTTTCATCATTTTCTAAGAAATGCCTTCTCAGATCATGTGTTGGGCTCCTGTTTCTTGTATCTATGTGTTCTGAGCTTTTTTTTTTTTCTTTTTTCCTTCTTGAAAAAGTGCTTGGGGGTACTATGGTTTGGATGTTCCTAATAAGCCTCATGTTGAAATTTAATCCCCATTGTTAGATATTAAGAGGGTAAAAACTCAATCTAACTACAGTCTTTGGAGGTGAGGCCCTCAGGAGGTAATTAAGAATGACCCCATGAGGGTGGGTCCTATCCCAATAAGATAGTGACTTTATAAGAAGAGGAAGAAAGACTTGAGCTAGGACTTTGTCCCTCCCACCATGTGATGCCCTGCACTTCTTAGAACTCTGCAGAGAGTTCACACCAGCAATGACCTCACCAGATGCAGTTGCCCAATCTTGAACTTCCAGCTTCCAGAACTAAGAGCCAAATAAGCATATTTTTCCTTATAAATTCCCAGTCCGTGGTATTTGGTTAAAGCAACAGAAAACAGAGTAAGACAGGTGTTTTAGTCCATTCAAGCAATACCATTAACTAGGTAACATAAATAATAAAAATTTATTTTTCACTGCACTGGAGGCTGGGAAGTCCAAGATCAAGGCACCATCAGATTTTCTGGTGAGGTTACTTCCTGACTCATACACAGAAATCTTCCCTGTGTCTTCACACAGTAGAAGGGAAAGTGAGCTGTGCCCCCAACTCATATAACCCTCTTTCTGATGGTTGCCAGAGAATAAGCCCCTAGACTTCTGCCATTCCAGCTGAGTCGTCCTTTCTCCAATGTAAGCCTGAGTACCAGGCCAGTTGACTGGGCAGGGGTGGAAGCCCCACCAAAGGGGGCTCTCAGAGTCCTTCACTGTGAGTTTTCAGACTTGACTTGGGACTGAGAGCCCACCCCACCCTTAAATGGTGGAAGAGCAGAATGTGATGCAGATTGTAGGCAATCCACAGTGAGGACACTGATACAGAAGAACAGGACACAGGTCCTGGCTTCTGAGCCTTTTGGCCTGAGTGCCTTTTCTGCCTATGCAACTAGTCCAACACATGACTGCTGGCTTTCCAGTCTTAGCCAGGCCTCCTCCTATTCAGTCATTAACTGCTTCTCTCCAACTGATAGGTGCGATCAGGTCTCAGTCATGGACACATGTCCCATGCAGTTCACGTCACACTTCTGGCAGGATCTTTTCATTTGGAGACCTCAACCAGGATTCCTTATACTCTTCCAAGTCATGGACTAGTTCCCCTCTCCTTTGCATCCATAAAAATTCACCATATTTCATAAACCAGAAAAAAGCATGGTCTCTGCAATGAACATAATCCTCATAGAAAACAGCATGAAATGTATCTAGCTATGAATATATGTACAGTGAGTTTTGGTGCCTGGTACAGGCTATGCAGGTGCTCTTCTGCTTGAGCCACACCGCCAGTCTTTTTTTTTTTTTAAACTCTGATTCTTTTGGAGATAAGGTCTTATATTTTGCCTAGACCTGCCCAGCTGAGATCCTCCTATTTAGTCTTCCTGTCATCCATGAGATGACAGGTGAGGAACACCATGTCCACCTTTTTTTTTTTTTTCCATTGAGATGGGGTCTAGCAAACTCTTTCCTTTTGCACAGGCTAGCCTCAAACTGCAGCTCTCCCAATCTTGGCATTCCAAGTAGCTAGGATTATAGGCGTGAGCCAGCAACATCCAGCAGTAACTTACTTTTGATGGGACAAGTGCTATAAAATTAGGCATGGGGTGTGACTGGGAATCAGTGGCCCCATTCTACTGATGGCCAGGTGGACTTTTACTGACAATTGTTGGTGCCCTGTTTTCTCATGACCTGAGGTGGGTGGCAGGCCAGGCTGAGGTGAGGACAAGTGTGGGGGGATGGACCTTCCTTAATGCAGGCCACACTCAGCGCTAGAATTTTGAGCAGGGATGACCCAGGCTCAATTTTAGAAAACTCCCTCTGGTGGCCAAGGTGGGGGTGACCAAAGAGGGACATCATGGCTGGTTCCCTAGCTCTACCTCATCCCTCCGGAGGCCTGCTAAGCCTGGCTGTGCCCTCAGCATCCTTGGAACCTGGGTCACAGGGTTGCTGTCCTCTCCAAATTCTGCCACCGCACCCCTCCGGAGGCCTGCTAAGCCTGGCTGTGCCCTCAGAATCATTGGAATCTGGGTCACAGGGTTGCTATCCTCTCCAAATTCTGCCACCATCCTCCGGATCCCTCCAGTCTCTTAACCTCCTCATCTGCTGGGTCCTACTACGTCTCTCTACTCTGGTCTTGGTCACTCCCTAGCATCCTGAGACTATCACTTTAAGAACAGAGCTTCCATTTGTCAACAACTGTCTCCACTTCTCCAGTCTAAAAAAGCCAAGCCCCAGGACCAGCTAACCACAGATCTCTGAAGATTCGCCCAATGTGTTCAGTCTCTCCACCTCGCTTCCAGCTTTACTATACTGAAGCAGATTTATGGATACCCCAAACCGTGACTTATCCCAACATATTCTACCGCCCAAGACTTTGCTGAAACCCGATCTGAGGGCCTGAAGACTGCAGAAGATGCATCAAAAACAGCTCGGTGTCAAAGGACCCCAGTGTCTAGGGGCCTCTCGGCACTGTACTCCCCTTCCCCGACCCTCTACTCCTGAGACAGAAGCCTAGGCCCTACCATCAAGAGCCCTCTTCCCCCTACCCCGCTGCCTATGCACCGGGATCATGGTGTTCTCTCCTCACCACACCTCTACAACCTGACTCCTGGCTGCTCCCATTCAGTGTGGCCCGCGAAGCGTCCCCCGCAATGGCGTGCAAGAGACCAAGGCCCCGCGCCGGGTTCGTGGATGCCGAGGCCTTGCTCTCGCCCCGGGCTCCTCCCCAAACCCCCGGGCTCCGGTCCCTCTCCAGTCCGCCTCGCCGCGGCGAGCACCTGTAGCCTCGATGCCCGACTCCCCCTGGGACCCGGCAGCTCTGAGGCGCCCGCCCTCGCTGGTCTTGCCCTGCCATGCTCTCGGTCCCTTCGGCCCACCCTCTCCGCCACCTCCTGGCTCCGCGTCCCACCGACACGCGCAGCCCCTCTTGCCCGGAGGGCGGGCTCAGCTGGCGGGCAGAACCATGCCGCGGTGGCCACTCGGCCCACGCGGCTGACCACCCAAAGGACACCGCTCCCCACAGTCCAGCGCTCCCCATACCTCCCCCAAACCCTGACCCGCGGCGACAGTCCGGCCTCCAGGCCCCGCCCGCGCTGCCAGGCAGCGACCCACCCTTTTAGCGCGATTGGCCGCGCCTTCTTGGCTCTCTGCGCGCTGATTGGTCGGCCCGCGGATCCGTCAGGCCGAGCGCCGCGGCGGCGGCAGCGGCAGCGGAGGAGCAGCCAGCCGGACCGGAAGGGTCGAAGCGCCCCGGCGCCCCTCACACCCACTGCGGCGGCGACGGGGCGGAGCGGGGCGGGGCGGCCGAACCCCGGGCAGCGGAGCCGGGAGCGGCCAGCCTGCAGTGCCGCCAGTCCGCCCGCCCGCTCTCTCCCCGTGGCGCGGCGGCGGGGAGGCGAGGTGAGCCCAGCGGACTGGCGGGCTAGGCCCGGCGGGGGCTGCTCGGGCCCGGCCCTGACGGGGAGGGGCGGCGGGAGGTCGGCCCGGCTGGGGTCTGCGGGGTGGGCGCGGGGCCGCCGAGCCGGGGAGGGCTGTGGTCTACGGGCGGCCGCCGCCCCTGTCCACCGGGATGCCGCAGTCGCCCCTCCCGCCTGGCTGTCAGCAGTTCGAGCTGCGGGCCCTTTCTCTGGCCTGGCCCCAGCAGACCTGTCCGTGGGGTCTGTAAGGCGCCATCCCTCCCAATTGTGGGGCACGCGGCTGCACACCCTGCCCGATGCTCAGGAACTCGGGGTCTGGTCCCCGCGACCTTGGCCAAGACTCTGATGACCCTCGCTGTCCCTCGGTTTTCCCCCTCGGGAAAGTGGGAGAAATGTCTACTATTTTTGGACAGGGTTGTTGTCAGGTTCTATGACTAGGAAAGCGCCAGGGCGCATTTGCGGAATACCGGGATATGAATGTCCTACCCCTCCCCATCCATCCAGGGTCCTCCCCCACTCCTCCAGTGCCTTGTCATTGTACACTCAGTGCCCAGCAAAGCCAGAGTGGGCCCTGCCCACCTCCTCTATTCTCTACTGCCCCCCCCACCACACACACACACACACACACACACACACACACACACACACACACACACACACCCCATCTCACGTCTCACCTGCCTTATACATGCCAAACCCATTCATTTACCTCAGGACCTTTGCACTTGCTGCTTCCCGTATTTGGTGTTGTCTCTGGGATTTTGGTATAGCTGGCTCTTTCTGTTCCTTCCCCTTGCCCAGATGTCTCATTTTTAGTGAGGCCTGCCTTGAGCACCCTCTTCTTATAGTCATTCCGTTTTTCATTGTTCTTTCATTTTCTCCCTAGCACTTACCCTGGTTTGAAATGCTTCTATTTATTTGCCTGTTTATTTTCTGTAGCTTTAGGGAAACAGGTAGTTGTGTGATTTGTCCACTGGTTTCCCCCAGTGTTTAGGAAGCAAACAGTTAAGTATTCAGTAGTTTTAGTTCAATGAATGATCTAAGGAATGTTCCCGCCTGCCTGTTGTCTCTGCTTTATCTTTTATGTCAGTGACTTCTAACTAACTTGTGAACTTGTAAGCAGATGGAAACTTGTTCTCGTTTTGTGAAATATTTTAATGTCCTTGACCCCATTATTTGGTAACTGTCAGAACAAGCTGTGATGAAAATTTTACATTTTTATAAGAATTTAGCTCGAGCTTCTTTCCACACAATCAGGAGGCATCTACTGAATTGTACATTATCTAGGTCATGTTTTCTGTGTCCGTAGGGACACAAAGAAGATAGCAACAGGGTCCCTTCTCCCAGAGAACCCAGGAGCCTAGTTGAGATGGCCAGCCTGTGGACAGTTCCAGGGTAGGACCTGATGCCAACTATAATGGAGAGTCTTTGTCATGGAAATGTGGAGGAGGTGACAGGTCTTGCTCATGGGCCTTGAATGGTGACCAGGAATTTGTCAGATAGGGAAAGGGCAAGGCCATTGTTAAAGTAGTAAGGCCTCTGAAGGCCCTTTGTGAAGTGTGGTGCTCTCAGGAGCAGCCAGACAACCATGATGTGATGGAGATGCTGGAGTGATGGGGTCCCTGGAGAGTCAGAATTGCTAGAAATTCACCCAGTGATTTCCTAAAAGATTGCAGAACTCCAAATCTGTGTCTGGACATCCCTGATTCTTAAATGTTGATAATAGCTAATTAAAATTTTTAAAGATGCCTTGAGCCAAGCCAAATGTAGACCCTATACAGCATGGTACAGGATTGTCAACCTCCAGGCCAGGCTGTGTGGGAGGGAGATGTTGGGAGGAGCTGGAAAAGTAGCCTAGGGCCAGGGGAGCTAGGCCCTGTGCCCAGGTACCAGCCCAGGTACTCATTTAATTGTGGCTGGAGCCCTGTGAGTAGCAGCTGTGAAAACTGGTTTACATCGGAGGAAACACTCAGCTCTCTGCTTCATAGCAAGCATCTGGTGAGTGAATTCGAACCCAGGTCTCCCCCAAGTCAACATTGTTTCCTGGGTCTTCCACTCTGAATATTCCTGTTTTGCTTTTAATTTATTCTAGAAGAACAACAGCCAATCTATTTAATGCTTTCCTCCATTTAATCTTTATTTTTATTATTGTTCCAGAAGAATCCTGTGGGGTTAAAAATAATCCTTTTTCTCATAGTCTCTGGAGTCCAGCTTTGATTTTTCTGAGAATTTGATTCAGAGTGTAAGGACTTTATAATAATTCATTAACAGATTAAAATGTGTTTACCTGGTTCCCTAAATAAATGTTTGAAGGAACAAGTTTGAATTTGTCTATTTAAAATAAAATCAATTGTCCAGGTTAAAAACATGCCAGACAAAGCAATTAATAGTGAGTAAACCAATTGTTTTCATGATGTACAGGATAAACATAAGCCTGACTATTGATTTGGCAGTAGGACAGCTATTTCTGATCTAAATATGTAGTTATCTTTCACACTTGGCTAGGAAGGTGTAAGTCTACATAATTTCCTTAACAACAACTCATTCTTTTTTTTTTTTTTTTTTGCCCAGCAATCTCTTTATTTTTTATTTATTTTTTTAATTTTTATTTATTCATTTTTATTATTCATGTGTACGTACAATGCTTGGGTCATTTCTCCCCCCTGCCCCCACCCCCTCCCTTACCACCCACCCCTCCCCCTCCCTCTCCCCCCACCCCCTCGATACTCAGCAGAAACTATTTTGCCCTTATCTCTAATTTTGTTGAAGAGAGAGTATAAGCAATAATAGGAAGGAACAAGGGTTTTTGCTAGTTGAGATAAGGATAGCTATACAGGGAGTTGACTCACATTAATTTCCTGTGCATGTGTGTTACCTTCTAGGTTAATTCTTTTTGATCTAACCTTTTCTCTAGTTCCTGGTCCCCTTCTCCTATAACAACAATTCATTCTTAATAATTTTCCTTGGCTTTGTGTGAAATAATTTCAACACCAGTCTATTATTTTAATTGTTTATTATGGGGATTTTCAAACATACACAAAAATAAGCAGAATGTTATCCAGCAGCTGTTATTAACCCCTGACCAATCTGTTTCATCCCTAACCTCATACACATACCCACTCATAACCCGTCTCAAATTATTTTCAAGCCAGTCCTAAATATGATTTCATCCATGAATTTTCCAGTATGTCTGTCAAAGATAAGGGGTCTTTTATATTTGAAAAAGTAATTCCTTAATGTCTTCAAATAACCAGTCAGTATTTAAATTTCTAGTTTTTTCATGAATTTTATAGTTTCCTTAATTGTTTGAGGATATATCCAGATAAGAACCATATATTGTGATTGGTTGATGTGTCTTTTAACTTTCTTTTAGGTTGTAGATTCCTCCTTTATGCCTCTATGTCTTTTGTTTGTTTTCTTTATAGTTTACTTGTTGAAGCAATTGGGTTATTCTATAGCATTTCCATAGTTGGGATTTTGCTGATTACATCTCTGCAGTGTAATTAAATGTGTTTCGGGGGAATTAGTAGTTGGATCTAGATGAAGCCTGGTCAGATTGAGGGTATGCTTGTGTCAAGATTCTTCTCAGATGGGCTGCACTGTCTCTTCTCGAGGCAACTAAGAATCTGCCCTCACCCCTGTTTTACAGATGCATGCAGTCACTTGCCCCAGGTCACCCAGATAAGCAGCTGACCCTCTGGCAGTCCAGCTCCAAAGTCCTGATTTTAACTAGTACTCCACCACATTTATTCTCCCACTTAGTTTTGCCTTTAGCAAACCTTAGCCGGGCTGCTACTGAAGGGAGCTGAGAAATAAGTCAGACATATTTTCTGCTCTTAAGAAGCTTAGAGTAGGGTAAAGGTAGGCTTACCATGCAAAATAAAAGGAGTACAGGTCAGGATGGCAAAAAGAGGTCATACCCAGCAGTTTCAAGGGAAAAGCTGTAGAAAGAAACTTACAAGAGAAGCAGGTGCCAGAACTAGATTTTGAAGGAGGATGAAGGTTGGCCAGAGCGCAGGGGGCAGAAGGAAGGCATTTCAGGCAGATGGAGCTGCTTGAGCAGAGGCCTGCAGGTGTTTAATGGCAGTATGGTTGCCGTCCCATGTGGTTTCATTGCACAGCAGTGGGCCAGGGGTCCCACCGTCTCCTATGCCATGTTGAGGATTTCAACCCAATTTTAAAAGTCACTATTAAGGAATTCAAATAGAAGAATGGTATGATTGCTGCATATTTTCAACAAATCTGTCCTGTTTTAAAATTTCTTACTGTGCAATAATTATAGATCCAAAAGAAGTTGCAAAATCCCACAAACCTTTCACCCAGTTTTCTGTAATGATTGTGTATTTACATAACTATAGTACAATATCAAAACCAGGAAATTGGCATTGGTGCAGTGTGTGTACAGTTCACTGTCATCACATGTGGAGATTCATACAACCACCACCACCCAGGATCCTGAACTGCTTTATCATTCCAAAGATCCTTGTTGCTATCCCTTATAGCCATATTACCCACCTTGCCCACCTACCAAACCTAACTCCTGGCAACACTAATCTGTTCTATATCTCCGTAACTTTGTAATTTCAACAGTATGTATGGGATCATATAGTATGTCATCTTTTGAGATTTTTTTTTTTCCTCTAACTACAGTTGCCTCTCAGTATCTTCAGGGAATTGAGTCCAAGACCCCCTGTGGATGCTAAAATCCATAGATGTTCAAGTCCCTTGTATAAATGGTGTAATAATTGCTTATAACTTGTTCATATCTTCCATATACTGTTAGTCATCTCTAGGTTATTTATAATACCTAATACAAAATAAATACCACCTATATAGTTATACGACTTAGGGAATAATGACAAGAAAAGAACTGTACATGTTCAGTTCAGATGCTGTTTCCCCCAAATGTTTACCTTTTTAGTTTAAAATTATTTTCAGTGGATATATAACATAAAAATTACACTAATGGGGTGTCATGTAATG